TAAAGTAATATTCATGTGGGTATCAAGGAAACATAGATCCAGCAAGTGCCAGAAATGTCAGGCTCAAGAAGTCAGAACAAAGGCAAGAGAGGGCGCTGCCAGGTTAGTGAACTCTGGCTCTGTTTGGAACTGTGATGTACACGGTGGTGAATGTCACAATGGTGAGCTCAGTGTGATGTATTCAGAGGTGCTCCTGTTTATTTGAATGGCTTCAGATAGAGCCAAAAGTAACACGTGGCATCAGTCTAAGTAAAAGTAACATGAGTGGAAACAGAAATCAATTGTACTTAGATTTCTGCAGCGGCTTTTACAAACAAAGAATAGCCCATGTTTTTCTCTACACTGGGCCCGAGCATCTGTTGGAAATCTTTTGGGAGAGCAGTCTTGATGACACAGAAATTCCAATGCTGGACTCCTTGAGCGATTTTGATAATCTTGGCCCAGGATTATTTTGATAAAGACTCCTCAAAGATTTCTAGGAGGCAAGTTTCAAGGGAAGACAAATGATTCAATTTACTGTTCTCACAGCAATCTGGTTATGACAGCTTAGGTCAGATGTTGGCACTTGACGTGATTAAAATTATTTCAGATAAAAGAATTAATCCTTGGTGGGAAAAGAGAAAAGCAAATAAAAGAATGATTTCATTTTTTAATGGGCAACAGGCCTAAAGATGATACCAGTTACCAGTTAGCTTAAAAATGTATATTACATTGAAAACAGAAACATAGATGGACATACTATTCTAGTCTTTTGCTGGCCAATTACAGAGCATGTGTTTAAGAAATTTTAGTTATTTTATATTCGTTATATTCGAATAATTATATATTCATTATGTTTTAGACAGTTCATATGTTTTCACATGTCTTACAAAGTAACTCTTTTGATTCCTACCCAAAAAACTTTAAGAAGAAAACAGCCCAACTTATTCTTAACTTGCTCTGCTTTTCACAAGATGCTATGGGGCACCCCAGCTAACTGAGGCATGGCTGTGTGCACAGGTGCAGAGAAATCTTCCCAGGGTTCACCAACCCCACAGAATAAATCAGCAGAGAAGTTCACCCTGCTAATGTATTACCAAAGAATAAATGTTTATTGCTCAGTGTAAATTCTGTAGGTAGGGAGATATTCTGAATCAACCAAAGATGAAGTGGTTCTTTGTTTGCTTTTTGGCCATGAATGCATGTACCTACTTATTCTTCATTCCTAATAAGGACCCTTCCTGTAAGTAGCCAGTCATCTATGTTTAGGGGCACAGTGACCATGTGAGGGAATTTTGGGAAACATCCCAGATAGATTGGTTTGTCAGTTAGGTAAAAATTAGGTAGCCAGATAGTGGTGGGATGGATAGATGGATGGATAGATGGATGGATGGATGGATGGATGGATGGATGAGTGGGTGGGGTAGGTGGATGGGTAGGTGGGTGGATAGATGGATGGGTGGATGGATGGATGAGTGGGTAGGTGGATGGGTGGATGGATGGGTGGATGGGTGGGTGAGTGGGTGGATGATAGATGAGTGGATAGACACATAAATGAATAAATGTGTAGGGAAAAGAAGGTATAACATCTTTCCTCACCCATCACAAGGGTCACAACGCTTCTGTAACAAAAGTCTAACCAAAGAAAAGTCATAAAAATGTCTTTAATCAAAGTTTCATGTGACCTAGGACTAAAGATGAGGGGAGAACTGTTTGATGTCTAGGCTCAGTGAAGAGTGCAGAGCCATGTGGAAACCTTATTAGATGGTCTGTGACAAGCAGCTGGAAAGGGGACCCTGCAAGCCCTGTCTGTCCAGACTCTCCTGGCCTCTCTGTGTAGCCATCCTCGCTCTCAGTATGGAGAAGGAAGGAGCCTCTGGCATAAGAGAGAAGGGAGAGGGTGACTTTTCTAAGGCTTTCTGACTCATTTTGTGGGACAAGTAGAATTCTAACTTCTATGGCTAAACAGCAGGGAGACCTAGGAGAGCAAGAGAGAAAACAGGAGGCACTGGAAAGCCCCGAGAGCCCTTGGTGCCAAAGACTCAGCTCCACCCTAGTTCAGGGACGGACCTCAGAGCCTCAGTAGACAGAGAGAGGAAGAAGCCAGCGACAGATAGAGCCGCCAACTCTGTGTCTGCCCAGGAAATACTTCACTTCCTGATTTTTGTTTTGGTTGATTAATCCTAAAAGATCAGGGTCCAGGGTATATGCCTCGCTGGAGCGCATCCTGGCACAGATGAGATCTGGATTTGGTGCCCAGCACTGCAATCCATCAGTGCACAAATCAGGACACAGTCACCCCATTTCCCATGCAAGGTCCCTGCTTCTCCCTCCAGCCTGTGAAGATGTCTCCAAATCCTAGTGCATTGTTTCTTAGCAGAAATCACAGGCATAATATGTATTTTTATTGTGAACCTGACTTACATCTCAGTTCCTTTATGTCTTGCAGAGCTGGACACAGACAAAAACTTGCAGTGATTTATTATTGAGTCATAGACTTTTTGTTTTTAAGAGGGTTCTTTTTTCGTGTCCTCTGGTGTTCGGGCAGAGCAGAGACACTGCCTGTGGTACAGGTTCTGCACAAGCCACGGTGCCTCATTATCTCAGCATTATTAGTGTTTTCATTTTCACAGTAGCTCATGTGAATAGGCTGATCCTGCTTTGCATAAGCAGGTTGATTTATATGAATGCTATTTTGATCTCAAATTGATTGAATACTAAAAAGAAAGTCTAAGAAAAAGTGCAATGTGGTATCAAGGTCTCCCATCAAAGACAAAAGACAATCGGTCCCCCAGACCTTCAAAGTCAGGGATGGGGAGTTTCCTACTACCTCATTTTTAGAAGAGAGTGTAAGAAATATGGCAAAACACTCTTAACATCGAGCCCCAAGTGTTTGAAAATACAGTGGATCAAATCACATTTTGAAAATAGCACTCCGCCTGTAAGAGCTCAAACACAAAGAAAAGCACGAGGTTTAAGACCGTCTGCAATACCAGCATTAAAAGCCTTACTGTCCTCTATAACTCTAGAGCAAGCTGCAATGGAAACGAAAGAAAAGTTAAAGCCCACATCCCCAGCCGGAACCGGGCGGAGCCCAGGCCGGGACTGACTCCAGTTCCCTCATTTTCTGGGCATTTCCCAGGCCTGCACCTCTGCCATCTTCGCTCAGGGCTCAGAAACCAACCAGAAACTTGCAGGATTTTTTTTTTTTTTTGGAAGAATTATGCTTAGTTACACTTTGTTCCTCATTTTCTTCCCCACCCAGGGTGACCCCCAGTTGAAATTCTACATGCTCTGAAATCATCAACCCGAGCTCCGCTCTCGGCAAGGAACTCAATAGTCACACTTGCATTGTATGGAGCATTCCCTTTCCAAGAGTATTGTCCTCCCAAATCTCATCGCTCATCGTGTTGTGAAAGGGGTCCCCTCCTACCCGCTGGAAGGGCAGCTGGCAGAGGTTGTTCTGGAGTGGCCCGAGGAACCTGGCACCCATCTGCGTCAGTCCTGAAATCTGGTCTCTTTTGTAGCCTTCTCTATGTCCCTCCCTATGTACGATGGCCTGGCCATTATGTGGGGGACAGAGCAGCTGTACTCCTGTTCTGACCTGGGTACAGCTCTGCTCTCCTGCTGCTAAGCCAGTTTCCTGCCCCTCACTTCCCTCTGCACCCCAATAAGTCACCATAGCTATCCAGCCTTGGTGTCCAAGAGACCTCGCCGAATCCAGGATTGCAGCTATTCTGCTGTGAGCAGGCTGCTTAATTTCTGTGACCCTGAGTGTCTTATTTATGCAGAGGCAAAGCATAGTTTTTTTTAAAAAGAGCCCTGGAAAGCAGAATTCTGCTTTTATAACATCAGGGGCACTGAGCAAGATGGTGAAATTTTCTGAGCCTCTGTTTTCTCACCTGTAAAATGGGGCTGGTAGGCATTCTGCAGGACTGATACAAATGCTGAGAGGTATCTGAACTGTTAAAAAAGTGAGTGTGACGATGTAAGTCAGTCAGTGGTCTTTTTAAAACTAGGGTTGTGAGTTCCGGTTCGAGAAAGGGCATGTGCATTTGTGTTTCACTCTCATTCTGCCTCAGAGATTTGCCTTTATAAAGGGAATTCTCCAAAAAAAAGGTACGGTAACACTAACAGGAATTGGCCTAACTACTAAAAACAGATTTAATGTTCTTTTTAATTTTTTACTGGTTGAAAAGCAAACCAAACCAAACACTATTAAAGTCTACTTCTCAAAGTAGACTTTAACCATTCTGCAGGCCTTTTAAGTACTATACAGCCATAATCTGTGTCCAGTGGAATCAGACAAGTTCTCCAGACTAATCTTTTAAAGCTCAGAAGAAAAAAATTTTAGATACCCAGAGGAGAAGAAGCCCAAAGCTGTCTGCGGTTAGGCGCGCTGAAAGCTTACTAAGGGATACTCCTGCTCCTCGGCGCGCAGTCTTCTCGGATTGCCACTTAGATCTATCATTCTGATTGATCACTGTGCAGGTGGCTATTATTGGGCCTAATTTAACCCTATCCACTCACACATCCATCTACTCCTTCTATTGTACCTGACAGTCTACAAATTACTTATCCATGCAAATGATGACCTCAGGCAACCTTTTAGGATATTCGTGTTTAATTATACAAATGGTTCTTGATAAATAAGATTATGCACCTTTCCATATGTTTATTCCTTCCTTGATGATGGGAAATTGAATTTCCATGCATATTTGGTGGGGACAGAGTGGGGGGAATCGCTGAGCTCCTGGAGCCTGCAGCCCCATCCAGTTTGTGGGAGTTAAAAAAAATCACTGTGCTCCACCCAGCCCCACAACGGGCGTCTCTCACTAGGCTCAAACTCACTTGCTGCAAATCCTGAGGTCCTCATCAGTCCCTTCTGTTCCCAGGGTCCTTTGCAATCTATAAAACTTACAGTTTATCTGTCACTGGCTTTAATGGCTTCTGGTTGCCCAGCTGTTTGTCCAGCTCAGGGTGTCTTGTTCTTGTCTGTTCTTATGAGTCTCTCTCCCCAGGTCTGGGCCGTGAACTCAGCAGGAAAAGCCCCCAGCAGCTGGGCACGGTGTAGAACCCAGCCTGCACCCCCAGAAGGCCTCAGTGCCCCCAGTGTCCACGCAGTATCCTCCACCCAAGCAGTGCTCAACATCAGTGTCCCCTCGAAGCCCAACGGAGACATCAGTCTCTACCGGCTGTTCTCCAATACCAGCGGGGTCCTGGCCGTGGTAAGTGCAGGTCCTCGTGGTCAGGGTGAGGGCAGAATACTTGTCCTCTCTCCTTCTCAGCCCCCTCTAGTGGAGCGAGCAGCACCAGGGTCTTCCCCAGGAGAAAACATGAGCCTTTTGGAAACGTATGCAAACTCAGTACCCTCTTTGTTTTCATGCTGTGGTAGTCAAGATTGAATTCGAGGACTCCACACAGGCTAGGCAAGCCCTCTAGGGCTGACGTATACCCTAGCCCTTTTTATCCTTAATTTTGAGGCACTGTCTCACCAAATTGCTCTGGCTGGTGTCCAACCTGAGATCCTCCTGCCTCAGCCTCCTGAGTAGCTGGAAGGTGTAGCCCTTGCCCCTCTGTTTCTTTTGTGCTCGTGGGGACCAAACCCAGTGCTTCACACGTGCTGGGCAATAGCTCTACATTGAGCCACACCTCTCCCGTCTGAAGTTCCCTTTTGGACATAAATAAATCTCTAATCAAGTGATAGAAACTGAGTCTTTCTTTGGGTGAGTTTCAGAAAGGCCTGGCCCCTGGCATGAATGATGGCAGGACTGTTACCCTCCGGCCCACTGTTTATTAGCACGTTCTGGGCCCACTGGAGACAGGGGGAGGGGTCTAGGGAAGCTGACTCCCACCCTGAGCTCTAGCCAGGCCACTTGCTGGAAGGGACCAGAAGGATCCAGGCATTTCCCGTGACCGAGGGGGAGGGGCTGAGGTGTGGGAGGGCATCTCTGCACCCCCACATGCTCGGGCCCTCTTACAGGCTCATGAATTAGTAGAGGTGATGACACTTTGTTCACACAAACCTCAGGGAGAGAAGGTGCAGATCCTGCTGTTACGTTATAAGTTATTTGGACCAATTTAGGGGACAGTTTGGGCCAGTATGGAGAAAGCCTCTGAGGCCACAGCGCCAGGCACTGGAACAGAATTTCAAAAAGGAATTCACCTAAAATAAAGGTACGCAGTGAACGTTAAGGGAATATTAGCATATTTTCCACAGGGCTTCATATTTAATAAATATAGATGATGTAAATATAATCAACCCTTGATTATCAATGCTTATAAGATGATAATAGTAATAAACTAAAATAATTTATATTTGGAGTGCATCATATGCATTTTCAAAAACTTTTCCTAATCATATATTATGTCAATGTGAAAATTAATTTACAGTTTCTAAACTCTTCCTTCCCAAAGAGAACTAAATTAAACCATGATGAAGTCAAAAGCTTGTTCCAAATAAGCTGAAAAGCTTATTGTCTTACAAAGATAATTGAGAAGCCAGGTGTGGTGATGCAGGCTTGTAATCCCAGCACACAGGAGGCTGAGGCAGGAGGGTTGCTGTAAATTTGAGACCAAGCCTGGGCTCCATAGTAAGACCATGTCTCAAAAAAAAAAAAAAAAGTGGCAGAAGGAAGACTGTAATATCTCACAAAACCCAACACCCTCAGAGACAGAGCTGGCCTTGCAAGATCTCTGCCATCTCTCCCTGACTCTAGCACAGATGCAAGATGATGCTCACCTGGAAATTGGCAGGCCGGCCACCGTGGTGCACTCTGTGAGTCTGTGACTGAATAGAAATACACAGCAGCGATGGATCATGTTTTTAGAAAGCGTGTCATTCTGCAGCTCATAAAATGTGCTCAGCATTTCCTATGTGCTCTTGCTTCTTTCTAATTCCTTTCTAAGGTGATAGGTAATAGACAGTCCATGCCTTCTGGTGTCCGTGCGTTGGCCCCAGAGTCCATTTAGCTGTAATATTGTTAAGCATTTTCGCTTGTGTAACTGCCCCGGCTAGTCCTTGTGGGTAAATGCCAGGCTGGGTGCCCGGCTACAAGGGGCTGCGTTGGTAGGAAGTGGAGTGAGGGGGCTTGGCTCATAAACACCTGTCTTCTCCCCCCCCCCCCCCCCGTCTCAGTTGTCGGAAGGCACGGCCACCCAGCAGACTCTCCACGACCTGCGACCCTTCACCTCTTACCAGGTCGGGGTGGAAGCCTGCACCTGCCTCAACTGCTGCAGCCGCGGGCCCACGGCCGAGCTGAGGACGCGCCCTGCTCCACCCTCCAGCCCATCGGCTCCCCGGGTCCTGGAGCTGGGCTCCCGGACAGCCTCCGTCCAGTGGGGGCCCCCGCTGTTTCCCAATGGCGTCCTTCGGAGGTAGCAGTCCAGCGGGAAGGGGTGGGGGTGGGGGTGGGTAACCAAAGGCAACCTGCATGCAGACAGGGCGGCCAGCGCTGCGGGGAGTGCAGACTCAGAACCTGAGCACCGAGGTCCTGTGCTGCCACCATGTCCCAAATCCACAAAAAGGCCCACAGCAAACACATCTCCAAATAAGAAAGACCCGGAAAGTGTCTACTCCCCAGCACAGCACGTTCCCCTCGGGTTGGGGGGCTCTAACCTCAGCACCACACGCATGAATAAACAAAGGATCTCTGAAGGGATCCCTGCCGCAGGTCTTTCTCAGAGGGGAGGGCACCTTCCAGGTGCAGTCAGAGTCCCCTGTTCACCTAAGATGTCCTGGTGAGTCCTGTTAGAAGGACAAAGAAGTCACTCTCTGAACGATCTGGAGGAAAATTCATCTCCTGCCTCTAAACAGAGGAGAGTATTTCACCACTTTCTTTTAGAAAAACCTGAGTATCTCAACCAAAGTGACCGGCCATGGGGTGGATGGCCACACACGTGAGGATGGTGACTCCCTTGACACTTCTCTGGTCACCGCCATCTCCCCACTGTATCTCTGAGAACAATTTCCTAACACTGCAGATCTGAGAGAGCTTGGGGCTCCAGGGAAACCAAATGTGTTCCCACAGAGCAGAAGCAGATTTGAAAGAAGGCTTAGACTGATGCCACCCCATCTTCCCCTCCCTGCCCACTCTGTTCCAGCTACGAGCTCCAGCTCTCCGCAGCCTGTCCTCCGGATGCAGCCCCGGCCTGCGCCCCCAGCCAAGCAGAGACCAGGTACCGGGGCCTGGGACTTGGAGCCAGCCTCGGGGGTCTCCAGCCATACAGTGCCTACCGGCTGCGGGTGGTGGCCCACAATGAGGTGGGCAGCCGGGCTTCCGAGTGGACCCGCTTCACCACTCACAAGGAACGTGAGTACCAGTATGGGCCAGCATGACAGTCACACTCCTCCTCAAGGTGACAGGCTCAGGAGCCCCCTTGGGGTCAGGAAAGCACACTTCTGGGTGTCTGGGTAGTCACAGGGGCTGGCCTTGGGTCTATGTCTGGTCCCCGGCCCCTTCCTCTCTCGTGCTCTTCGGCACCATTTCCAGCCACCATGATGTGAGCATGACATCCTGCCTTGAAGCCAACCATGGACTGACTTGTCTGAAACCAGAAACCAAATACACCTCTACCACCTTGAGTTGAGGGTGCCAGGTATTTATTTTCCCAGCAAAAAGAAAGCTGAGCCAGAGATAGGAGGGCTCAGCCTGCAGAAACTCGCCATGAACAGTAGGGGGCGCCAGTTCCTACCTGAGGTTAATAGAGACTCAGGGGTGCAAGATATTCTACCAAGATATTGATGAAAATGACGATTGGGCAAAAAAGTCCCCAGGGTCTGATAATATGGAGGTGAACGGTAAACTCTGGGAGGATTTCCCTGTATCAATTTGTTGAAAGCTAGTTTAGAGGAAGTAAGATAATGCATAGAAAGAAAAATAATAGGCAAGTGCTAGTCACAGTTTTTTACAAAACTTTGCTACTCTTCTCTTTAAATTACATGACATCATGCCTAGCATTTCCAGAAAGCTTCAAGGCATGGTGCTATGAGGAAAATAAAAAGGGCAATTAAATACAGAAACCGACAATCGATTAATTCTTAATTGATGAATTAATTTTAAAACCCTGACTTCAGACGGTATGAAGTCTGTATGTCCATTGTATAAAAATGGTAAATACAAAAAGTACCAAGAAGCAAATGAGTTATTCTCAGCTCAGTTACATAATTTGTGAGGACCACTAGAAAATGAAAATATGGGATTCATTGTGCAGAATCATTAAGAATTCCAAGGCACAACAATAGAATAGCACACTAAGCTCCGAGCCTTCCCATGTGAGGGGTCGTCACATGAGCGTGAAGTAAATCCTCCTATAACTCCACTGCCTCAAAGCAACTTCTGTTACAGGTTGGCATAATCAAGTCTTTTCATTCCTTTTCTTTACATAAATTTGTTACATGGTTGAGCTCACACTATCATCAAAAGTTTCATAATCTGCTTTTGAATGTGACATCATATTTGCATTTTCCATGATACTAAAAGCTCTTTAACCATCAAGTATGACAGCTGTATAATATTCCAGCTCTGAACTGGCCAGATGCTCTGGTTCTTTTTTAGCATTTTTCTTTTATCAGCGTGACAAGACTGGTCTCCATTTGCACCTCTGATTACTTTGTTAAATTTCAATACGTGAAATTTACTGCATCAAGAATTTTAAAGCATTGGCTATTTATTGCAAAATGGTTTTTGGAAAGATTATATCAGAGTACTATCTCTCCTAATATACTCTATTCGTTATTGAACATTACAGTTTTTGCAGTACTGGGGATCAAACCAATGGGTGTTCAACTAGCATGCCCAGTGCTGTTTATTTTTTGAGACAGTCTTGCTAAGTTGCACAGGCAGAACTTGGACTTGCAATCCTCCTGCCTCAGTCTCTGGGACTACAGGCACGCACTATCATACCCAGCTGAACATGCAACTATTTATTAACTGTAAGAAATGTGCATCTAATAAAGCCTATTGCCTCACAGGAGGACCTTAAAATGTCCAGCCGTACCATGGCAAGGTGTCAAGGACAGGACACATTTACAGGGGATTTGCTTGTTCCCATCTCTGTTTAAGAATTTTAGAAATAATGTTTTCTACCAACCTATGAGTGAATATTGTGAGCCCATTGCACAGATCAGAAGCCTGAGGCTTTTCATAGGTTAACTACATGATGAAATTCCAGGCAACATTCATGTTGACTGTGGTCCAAACCCAGGCTCTTAAACCCTCATATAACCCCCAGGTGAGCTGGATCTTATGTAATCAAAAATGTCACAATCCACCTTTTCTACATAGTATTATTTTACTTGCATCTTCCACAATATTAAAAAAAATTAATTATCAAGTACAATGGCTGTATAATGTTCCATATATGAATCTGCTGGACACTTCAGTTCTTTTTAGCATTTTCCTTGAATCAATGTGACAAAAGCAATCTCCATCTGAAAGTCTGACTCCTTTGTCATCTACACGTTCCGTGTCTCCATCCTGTCTCCGCATCGCCCCGCTCAGCTGCCCACTCCGCACTCCCACGCTGGCCTGCTCCTTGACATCCTGCCCTGTACACTGGAGACGTGAGACCTTGCCCGCAGCAGGCTCACCCTCCCTCCCTCGGTGTCTGCGAACCCCTTGCTCCCGACTCCCCAGGAACAGCCGGTCCCGCCTTCCTACTGGACAGGCCAGCCTGCTTGTGTCTGCATCACTCCTGCCAGCCCTGAGGTAGCACTGGCCCGAGATAGCCCAGCCTCCCCTCTGTGAGGGCCCCCTCCCTGCCCCCCTGATCATCCGTCTCCCCTCCATGGTCAGCGGGTCCCTGCCCCCTTCCCCGCGGTCACTGCCTCCTCTCTGAGCTTCCCTGGAGAAACTGTACCGTTCCCACCCACCCCTCCACCCACTTCCTCTTTGATGTCTTCATCACTGGGTAAAAATCCCTTCCTGCGTCCACCCTCAACTCCTTATCGATCGACCCAGCAAACACATCTCTCGGGTGCTCACCTTCCCTGACTTCTCGGAGCATTTGGTGCCATTGAACCTGCAGTGCTTTTTATAAAACGTGTTTTCCTTAGTCTTCCTAATGAGCCTCTCAGGCTTCCTGCCCACCCCTCTGAATATTCATCCGTAGTTAGCTTCCTGGGTTGATCTTCTGCTAATCAAGATTTTCAAGTGTTGATTCTAAACTTACCCGCCCTGCCTTTCACCTCCTTGCCTTTTCCTAATTCTCCCTCTTTCCTCCCTTCCTTTGCCTCTCCTCCACCTTCAGTGGGTCACCTACTCCTAGATTTCAGTTCCAAATGAAAGACACCACACCAGTAAAATGCTCACAGTCCCCCCAGGCTCTCTGTTTTGCAATCCAGCCCTACGCCCAGCTTCCTTGTGGAGGATGTACAGCCTGCAGCTCCCCCACCGGGGCCCTTTCCTGAGCCTTGAATTCCTCAGCTCTGGTGTTTACCACTTGGCTCAGTCTTACTCACCCTAAAATAATCTTTAGTGAGCAAATGCACCTTACATCCTTCATATTTATTGCTGGCAATCCTCGTGTCAGATTCCGTCTCACCTCTGCCATAATCAAAGCAAAATACAGTGACTTTAACAAGGTCTACTGTCTAATTTTATAATCTCCTTGACAGTACTTCCATAAGGCAATCTTGCTAATTATTCCAATTTCTTGTCAGTCTTGGCCAGATAGGTAAGTGAGAGTTGCAGGTTTTAACCAAATCTTTCATTCTCCTTTTTTTCTTCTCATGAACTTTCATTTTTGCTGGTTTCCTACCATTCTGTTTTTCTTCCTAACTGGAGAAGTGGCTGAAAGCCAGACCAGCACCCAAGGAGGAATGTTTCCTTCATCCACTGCTGACTGGATCCACAGATGTGAAACATAAAGAAATAATGTGGGCTTTCAGGTACCCCTTATGCAACTCCTGGCTCATACACAGGAGGAAACCGTGGGTCAGGGAATCCAAATGACAACATAGCCTAAAGTTGGCATGTGTAGTAAAGTTGGCATGTGTAGTTTTATGTGTAGTATGATCTCTTGTGCACTCAGCAAAGGGTTTCGGAGAAACAGGAAAGCTTCAGCCCCTCTTCCCCAGTCATCCTCCAGTGGAGAGCAGGGAAAGGGACAGATGTTTAACCCTGGCCTTCCTGAAGAAAGGTGTCCTCCTATGAAGACCCCTCCAGTTCCCATGGTGTTAGTACCTCACCATTACGAGCTTCTGGTCACCAACATGGCAGCGCAGAAAAATAAACTCGAGTCCATAGATAACAGTAGCATGTAAAGAGGTAATGAAAAGAGGCTATGAACACTGAGTATGTATTAATTTTTAAGACCATTAGGTTTATAGAATGTACTGTTTGGGGCTGGGGATTTAGCTCAGCGGCATAAGCACCTTTCTTGCAAGTGCGCGGTCATGAGTTCGATCCCTGGTACCAATAAAAATGAAAAAGACAAAAAAAAAAAAAAAAGAATGTACTGTTTAACGATGACTGGGTTTAACAACTGCCTCACAAAATCCTTGAAGTTAACCATCTTAAATTACACATACACATGAATTAAATTCAACATACAACTGGAGGTGACTTAGTAAACTGGGCTACTTTAAATAAATGTGTATTGACCATCACAAAGCAATATAAATGTATTAGCCAGTTTTCCATCTGGGACACAGTCCCCAACACCCACAAGTCAGAGGAGGAGGGATGTCATTTGAGTCACAGCTTCAGAGGGTTTAGTCCATGGTCAATTGGCTCCATGGCACAGAAGGACCATGGCGGAAGGGTATGGTGTAACAAAACTCCTAGTTCATGGTGGCCAGGAAGCAGTGAAGGGGACAGCATCAGAGGATAGGAACCCAGATACACTCAAAAGGGTGTTCCACTGAGTCCCAGGGCAGATCCAAAGTCAAACAAGTTGACACTTCACTTGAACTAGCACAGTGGGCTTTCAAGTTGAGAAGGTTCTCAGCACCTATTTTTCCTCACCTGATAAATTAAGAGCCAGTGTTTACCAGATTGCCTTGAAGATGAAATGAAATCAACTAGCTGTGTGCAAAGAGCATAGTGGATCTTACTATTTTATCAGTCTCCTCTGGGGAGGTTACATAAGTGCGTGCTTCTTGGTTATTCTGATTGTGTGCTCTTTTGAGGACTGCAATAAATCCTACAAGCCAAGGTTCTGTATATTTTCTTGCCATTTTCAAGATTTTTCTTTTTTGTACTCTAATGGCAGAGGGAAGAGTGGAAATCTGTTGGGTTAAAATTATAGAAAGAAGCCACAAATACAGTAGTGTGTTCTCTTGTGACCTTAGGCAGAATTAGTATTGGAAAATTACAGAAATTGAAAAAAGCATTGATAACTTTTGGTGTTTACAGAAAATGTTCTTATGGCTATATAAAAATCTCTTATTTTGATTGGTAAGAATCATGTTTCAAAGGGTTAATCTCAGCTACAAAAGATGATGATCTTGAGGCCTTTATAGATAAATGGAGGCAACTTGAGAATATCCTCATCAGTGAAATAAACAAGACTCACATTAGTAAATATCACATCACCTCTCTAGTGTAAAAAATAATAAAAGCTGACAGAATAATGGGATCCAAAAAGTATAATAGATATTGTGCAAGTGAAAGGGAAGGAAAGTGCTCTAACGAGTATAACGGTATGTACAGTGTGTGAGATAGATGACCAGATTACTGAATTTCCATTGAAACACTGAACAAAGGATTTGCGCTGCCAGTGTTTGAGTGTCTAGCCACTATTTATGCTTTGATTTTGTGACTTTGGCAACTTTTTTTTAAGACAGCAATGGATAATGTATCAACTAGCAATTTTATGATGTTAATTTTTTTAAATTTCGTATTGTTCTACGCTTTTTTCTGTTTTTCTATTTTCTTTTCTTTCTTTGGAAAAAAGAGAACAATATACACTATTTAAAAAAATTAAAGATATCAGTATACTGTCTCCAAATACTTCAACATGAATATCATTAATTACTTTGTTTTAGTTTTTTCTTTTGATATAAAATTTACATGTAATAAAAATAAAATGGATTATTTGTTAATCTTTTTTAAAAGGGTTAGTCTTTTGATTGCAAAATACACATATTCCTCAGTTATATTGCCTACCAGATGAATTTATTGGTTTAAATAAAGAACCGATATCCAATTTATTCTCACCACTCCTTTCATTGCTTAAAAGCTAATTTAGTATGTAGATGGATTTTACGCTTTTACAAAGGTATTGATTACTTTGGAAGAAACAAGGTCCCATGAAATAAATTGCTTCTGACTTGACAAGATGATATGGTGTAACCCTCTCTTGTTTCCACAAGAAAGATTCGCTTCAAAGACGAGCCCTAGTTAGAGATTTTTGCTTCATTGTTTTGTGAGGAGCTGGAAAATGCAAACATGCCTGTGAAACGCAGGGCTGCTGGCGTATCTGATACCATACTTAGACCTCAGCTGGATGATATACTAATGTACTGTACTATTGATTGATTAGTCAGGACGGTGAATTATTGTACTCGAATTACTGTTTGCAAGGCTTTTTAACTATTTTGGAAAACAAACTAATGGCTCAAGAAAAAGCTTTAAAAATAAATGGGTGGCACAAGGACATAATTCACCGTCTAAGCAGTTTGGTTTGGAGAAAAAAATATATTAACTTCATTTAGTCCTCGGGGCTTTGTAGCAATAAATATTGATTTGATATGAAAAATAGCTACCTACTGTAGACAACAGTGTTAAGGACACTTTACCTGGTAAAAGAGGGAAAAAGCAGCAAAATATGAGCTCCAGGGTTACACGGGTGTGTGGATCCACTGTGTATTAATGGCTGTATTCACAAAACAACTCTTGCTATTGATTTTTCTTTTTTTGGAAAGCAGGTGCCAAGTTGCTGAAAAAGCATTTCCCATATTCCTGTTGGTTTTCTTTCAGACCCAATACCAGTCAGTTCTCTTATGGGTTCCAGTAATGCTGGCATTTTGTCTTGTTTTATTTTTGCTCTTATTAAGCCCCAAATGGAGGCACACTTCCGCACCCCCATACCATGAGCTCCCCTAGATCATGTGCATTTCTCCCAGCAGTCCCTCAGTACCGGATGCCATTTTCCGTGGAGAGCAACGCGTCTGTGGTGTGCCTGGACTGGAGCAGTAGCTTCCTCCTGAACGGCCGGCTCAAGGAATATGTAGTGACTGATGGGGGCCAGCGTGTGTACAGCGGTCTGGACACCACTCTCCACATACCGAGGACAGTGCACAAAAGTTAGTTTCTGACTCCCGCTTCTCAGGGGAAAAGGACCTCTGGTCCCCATCTTGATTGGATGTTAAATCTGGAAGGGGACTAACAGATGTTCATGTTCAAATGTCTTGTTTTACATGGATGCTTCTCCTGGAAAAGTACAGCTCAGAGGCAGTGAGGGTCCCCTTCCTGCGTGGCCTGGTGCACTGAGGTGAAGATGCCCTTCCAGGAGGGTGCGCCCTCCTCTGACTTGGGTGTCTCTGGGAAGTAATAAAACAGGTTGAGGTCATAAAAAAAAAGTAGCACCCTATGTCATCAGTGAATATTGTAAAATAATACAACCTCAGCGACTTTAGCCTCTATAAGAGCCCACACTACGGGATTTACTCAACTTCAGTATCAGTCCCTGGAAGAACAACACTTTGCCACCCTTAATTGCGTGGTTTTTTTCTCTGTTTTTTATCTGATACTGGGAATGAACCTAGGGCCTTCCCATTGACCTGTATCTCGGGTCCATTATTTTATTTTTTATTTTGAGACAAGGTTTCTTAAGTCACCAAGTTGCCCAGGCTGGGATCAAACTTGTGATCCTCCCGACTCAGCCTCCACAGAGTACTAGGATTACAGATGTGCACCGCCACACCAGGTTCTCTGTCTTGGTTTTCAAATTAAAATGTGAAAAAGCTTTTATTTGCATAGCATTAAGGAACTTCTAGGAATCATCCTAGCCCCAGGACCAATAGCTATGGAATCCTTCTAAGCTAAGCCGTCGGGATTTGTACAGGTTTGTTACTGATCCTTAACTGAGAACAATATTCATTTTGGCCAAAAGAAGTAAACAACAAGCTCCAGCATTATCTGTATAGCATTTGAAACTTAGTGCTAACATTTTCCAATGAGGTGGTGCTCACTTGTAATCCCAGCACTCCAGAGGCTGAGGCAGGAAGATTGCTATGAGTTCAAGGCCAGCTTGCGCTATAGAGGGAGTTCAAGACCAGCCTGAACTGCATAGCAAGATCCTGTCTTAAAAAAACAATCAGAAATTTCCCAATGATTCAGTTACAGTTATAGCTCCTGGTCACCTCAGCAGATGGGTTTTGCTGGGAAGATGACCTGACATTGGAAAGATCTGTGTTCCACCTGACCAGGCTCTAGCCTTCTGTGTGACCCTGAGAGGGTCACAAGTTCCTGGCTTTAGATTATGCAATTTAGATCATTGCTTTAGACCAGGCAATTTCCAACATTCCTTGTGAGCTCTCTTGTTAAATATAAAAAGCTTCACTTAGTGGAAGGCACACCTGATGGCTTTAAAGGGACAGAGTTAGACCATATGCAGAATAAAATATGTTACTTTTCATCCTTTTCTTCTCTGTCTTTAGCTGTAGAAGCTCTAATGTTCTTTAGCTCTATTACTGATCAATATGCTCATATGTTTTTTCCATTAGAAATAAGTTTGAATGCTAAGTGTTAGCTCTCTATCACTGTAACAGATATCTGAAATAATAATCTTATCAAGATAAAAGATTTATTCTGATTCTAAAGACACACCCCAATGACCTAAAGTCCTACCCTTAGGCTCTGCCTTTTGTTGTGCTTTTGTGTGTGTGTGTGTGCCTGGGATTGAACTCAGGACCTCATGCTTGCCAGGCAGGCACTTATGCCACTGAGCTAAATCTCCAGATAGGCTCCACCTTTTTAAGGTCCCACTGTCTGTCAGTAATGCCACTCTAAGCTTTTGGGAGATATTTAACCTCCAGACTGTGGCATCAGATAAACCTTACAATGTGCTCTGAAATGCTATATTTTTCATGGAATGTAGGATAAATTTCTCTTTTCAAACTGTGCCCCTATTTTTGGATTTTGAGTGACTCATTTACTAATTCTTTCCTTTGTGTAGCCTTCTTTTTCCAGGTAACTTGCACCACGGATATAGGAAGTGTTAAGACACCACTGATCCAATATGACACCTCTACTGGATTTGGTATGCATTTAACCATTTATTTTGTTTGTTTGTTTGTTTGTTTGAGCCAAGGTCTTGTCCTGTAGTCCAGGCTGGCCTTGATCTTAGAGCAATGCTTCTGCCTGAGTCTCACAAGTGCTAGGATAACAGGCATGTGCCATTATGCCTAGTGTTGTCAAATTTGTTACAGCAGCTACTAATTTTAAGAAACATGCTGTCTTGGTTACTTCTCTCTCATTGCTGGGACAAAATACCTGATGAGGTATTTTGCCAAAAAGAAGGAAGGAAAGGTTTATTTAGCTCACAGTTTGTGGAGGTTTCAGTCCACAATCAGCTGGCTCTAAGGCAGGTTGGCATGGCACAGGGGCAAGCCTTCAAGGCAACAGAAGACAGCAAAAGCAACCAGAGCAAAAAAGGCTAAAAGGAAAGCCTCTCTTCCTCCTTTATATTGAAAGCAGGCAACCCCCACCACACACACACACACACACACACACACACACACACACGCACCCCCCAGAGTGGGTGTAGCACTCACACCACCTCTGTGCCTTCCTCTTGCACAGGCTGAGTGTATTTACACAGTTGAGGATCCTGGCTCCCTGCTGAGTCACTTGGTTAAATTTCCAAACTTCTCAAATTGACCCAGTAATCAACCTCAACACATGGTATGTGTGTCTACACATGCTTGTGCTCATATAGTTGCACTGACTTTATGGAAGGAATTGTGTTAAGTGACATGAGTTTTTGTTTTAAGGCCTCACAGAATTTACCTTAAGCAAGGAGTTGGGATGGGCATTTATAATGCCAAGCCATCCAGCTAAAAATGTGGAAAAGACTGTAGAGATCTGGCCAACTTATCTCCTGCCTGTAAAATCTGGTGAATATAAATAATGATTTATAAATGAAATAGAGTGAGGAGATAAGAAAATATTCTGCCAGTTTATATTGACCCTAATAATATTCTAGATTCAGAGCTTAAAATGGAAAATTTGAAAAATTTGTATCCTCTATAAAACATTATGACTTACTATTAATCCCCAGTCATTTAGCTGAAAAGCTGAAATTATAAATTAAGGAGCATCTTTTAAATTTGGTCCTAGCCATAAGCTCTGAGTCTAATGCTCTATGTTCTAATATGAAAGGGACAGTTAGAAAAGTGGTTAATCCTTCCCACCAGGTCAGGTGTGGGACTCACACCCCATCTTACATTCCAGTCATCCATGCTACATCAAGTTAGTAGGCACATACACTAGGATGCTGGAAAACGGGTGAGGTAATGGAGTTGTCAAGAAACAGTTTCCATCTGTAAAATACAATCCTGTTTCTGGACTTTGCATGTCCTGCAGTACACGGGACTGTTCCTCCCACATAGTTGCTCTGGTCTTATTGAATAGATGCGGAGAGGTAAAAGAGACTTCACTGGCAATCTGTTAGCACCTCCTGTGTCTCCACCAGTGGGCAGCAGGGTCTGAGGACACAGGCTTCCATCCAGGGGTGGGGACGTCCTGCAGTCCTCTGAGAGGACGACATTCCGGCGTGATTTTCTTCCTAACTGTAGCTCCACTGTGATTCTCGATTCTAGTGTCATCGGAAACTGCTCAGTGCGCTTTACTGTTTATTACTATTCCCTTACTCCTGGGAAAGATCAAAAATGGGGGACAGAGTCTGATCTTCCAGTGAGTCCCACGCAGTGGTTGTGGGGCTGGGGTCCAGGACCATGCAGCCAATGCGACACCCCCGATGACGACCCTAGGAATGGACCTATCCTCTGACACTGCCTCTGGGCTGAGTCTTCTTTGGAGTTGAGTCCCAGCCCTGGGGTCCCAACCCAAGCACAAACCTACCATGGGATGCCTGAATACACCCCCTTCTGAAAGGATGCTTTGCAAAGAAAACATGGAAAGGATACAGAGGTGGCATCCTGATTTCAGCTAAGAGGAGTATTCTGCAGTCAGCACCTGACAAGGAGCAGAGCAGGGCTGTGCCAGGGGTGGCCCTCGTGCCTGGAGGCTGAGCTCTGTGCTCATTCCAAGAGGTGCTGCCCAACTGGTAGCCACAGTCAGCTTTAATTTTTATGACAGGACTTCTGAAACATTCCTGCTGCCTTGCCTGGGGGCCGACTCCAGGCAGGAATGAGCAGAGACCTCCTTTCCCTGACTGTTAAAGGACGTTTCCCCTCGGAGGCTTCCCTCTGGTTCTCTGCCCTTTGTGCCTTGAGCTCCCGCCAGGGCCCCTGAGCCCATCAGATCAGTTCCCGGAGTCCCCGCTCTGCCTCACACTCAGGGGAGACTCAGCTCCTCTCCAGTGGCGTACCTGGGGATGCTCTGCTTTCAGTCAATCAACACACATTGGTACACTGGTTCTTACTAAGTGGATTTCCTTTCTGCTGAGCAAGACACAGCTGTGGCACAGAGCATCACTCCAGGGACAGGAAAGCTGAGACCAAGGAGCCAGAGTCACTTCTCCCACTGCCCACTTGGCCAGAAATAGAATTAGGGCTCACAAAAAAGTGTTCCTCTTCCTCTCATGAAGCCTGGTTTAGTTTTAGCCATCTCCTCTTTCTCCCTTTGAAACTTTCCTCCTGATTGTGAACTCTGCCCTCCATCCTTCCCTGGGCACCTGAGAGGGAGGCCCTTGTGGGCCCACACAAGGCCCTGGAATGCTGACCACGAGAGGGAGCAAGCCTGGCACCTGCGTCTGTGTGTCCTTCCGCGGGCAGCTCTCTGGCTCTCAGCCCCATGCCAGCTGTGTCAGATGCCCAGGCTTCGGAGCTGGACCCAGAAATCGGTGGGGGGATGGAAACCTCCAAGGGTCCCCCTCTGTTAGTCTCCTGAGGCTGTCCTGCAGTGACCCCAGCTCTGCTCCAGTTCCTCCAGTTCTCCTTGTCTTAGTTTCTCACAAGTGACACCCACAGCCTAAATGCAGAGTGGGTTCTTTTGGCTCATGTTTAGCATTTGTGGTCTGATGGTAGCATGATGGGAAGGTCTGGCGGAAGAGAGCTGTTCACCTCATGGTGACCAGGAAGCAAAGGGGAAAGGGAGGCACAGGGGAAAGAGATACCTTCCGGGTCATACCTAGTGACCCATGAGTACCCATGAGCCAACCACCTCCCCAGAGCCCTGCGTCTGAAAGATGAGGCTTTGCAGAGTCAAACCATAACACAGGCCCCTGCTGTCCTTCTCGGTCCCCTGGATTACCCTAGTATAGGACTTGGCTCAGGGTAAATGCTTGTGAAGTGTAAACTACTTTTGCTTTATGTGCAGAGAATCTTACAGATTTTCAAACAAGAACAGAAAGCAAGAGTAAGTGGTCCCCCTGCAGAAGCTGCCCCAGTGCAGTGAGCAGAGCTTTCGCTGTTGAATAGAGAGGCTGTGGACTGAGACCTGTAAGGACAATACGATAACAAGCTGGCTTCACTGTGCAAAAGGGATCTCATGTCTCAAAAGTGAGCACGCGCAAACCTTCCCAGGGCTGTGGGAACAGGGCTGTGGACGAGTGTGGGGACCTTGGATGTGGCTCACTGCAGCAGTAACCACCACCTTAGCAGGGACTTGGCTCCTAGGACAAACAGCAGTGAGATAAGAGACCCTCGGGGTTACTTGAGTTTTACTTTTGAAAACTGCTTCCCCAGCCGTCTTTCCCAGGGCCTGGGGAAAGCAGGAGTGGTCGCCAGCCAACCGAGACAGCAGCACCAGGACTGTCAGCTAGGTCTGCTAGCTGCTGTGCTGCTGCTAGCTGCTGATGGGACCCTGTGCCATGGCCCCAGCCGGCAACCAGGATGGCACTGCCTTCCGAAGTAATGCCTCCCTTCCCTTTCTCTGCCCCTTGCAGGTCTGGTGCTGACAACTCCCGGAGGGAAGAGGGGCTCGGGGAGTAAAAGCAGAGAATTCTACAGCGAGCTGTGGTTCATCGTGTTAATGGCAATGCTGGGCTTGATCTTATTGGCCATTTTTCTGTCCCTGATACTACAAAGAAAAATCCACAGGGAGCCGTACATCCGGGAGAGACCCCCGCTGGTCCCGCTTCAGAAGAGGATGACACCTTTGAATGTCTACCCTTCGAGGGAAACCCCAGTGGTACGCATGGAAAGGGGTGGCCTCTGCTCTGTCACCCTGAGACTGGCTTCACTTCTCAGGGCAGATGTTTCCTGGTTATAGTAACGAGGGGCCAGAAGACAGCTCTGTTTCACTAAAGCGAGGACCCCAGGAGTCTCACCCTAGCACAACTTTCTGGTCAGGATGATGTGAGCAGCTGTCTTCCGCCACACCCTCCCATCACATTTCTTTAGCTTCCACCTAAACAACCCATCTGACTGGGCTGTAGCTCTGTGCTGAATCCCCAGGCCCCACACCAAAAAAACATTACCACTGGCCCCCTCCTACAAAACCTGACAATTCATTGGTACTTGGTGGGGCCTGAGGCTTAGTGATTTTTTTCTTTTTATCCCCAGAGCGATTTTAATGTATAAATGACTAGGGTTATATGCGTCTGCCTATAGCTGACAGTGGGGATGGTGGAGAATTGTGCATTGAAATTACCTAGAAATTTAGAGGTTTTGTGGCAGTGAAATTGGGAGGACTGGAAATAAAAAGGGAACAGGAACTAGAGGTGGTGATACACACCTGTGGTTCCAGCACTTGGGAGGCTGAGGCAGGAGGGTCTCTACAAGTGGTGCCACTGGCCTCCCCTACACACCCTGCGCTGTGAGGAGCTAAGGGAGCTTTGCACACAGGACTCACCAGCAAAGGGCGTCACTCTGCCCTGAACAGACACAGGCAGAGGTGCCAAAGACAGAGCTTTTTGTTTTTTATTGACACTTTTTGAGATCACTTAGTACATGTACAGCTGCTCATGGGTGGATCTCATGCATAGTTTAACCACTGATCTGGGGATCCTTTGTATGCTGCAGAACTAAACAAAGGATACAGTAACTTCAGACACTATGCAATGAATTTTCCCTCACTGTGTGACTTTAACTGGAAAACCTGAGTGTGCGTGCATGTGTGTGTCAGTGTGTGTGTGTGTCTGTGAATGATTATGCTGTGGTTGGAGAAGCACCAAAAATTTATTATAAAACGTTTTAAGCAAGCACCGATGACCCCATTTCTCCCCAGTTTGACTCTGTGGCTGACATATCTGACGTGTCCAGCAACGTCACCCTGAAAAGTTACACCATGCGCTTTGAGGTACCACTGCCTGCTGCATGGTTGTGCAAACTTCTGCATGGTGTGTTGAGTGCCCCGAGATGCAGGAACCCTCTATTGACTGGACCAGTTCGCTCAGGACCCCTCAAGTGTAGAGCAGCTAGGTTGACCTTATGGCCCTTTCTAAATCTTAGTGGTAAAGTGACTTTGTCTTGCTGATGTTAATATTAGAATGAGACCAGATTCAGGGCCAGGAATCCTGGAACACCTGGAACAATGGTGAACGGGAAGAGAGGGTGGAAGAGAGGAATTCGTTTCCCTGCGCCAATTCACAGCAGCTAAAGTGAACTCCAAGTGCCCTGCTCCCAGGGGACGACTAAGAGGGCACATTGTCCTTCGCTGGGGGAAGAATGTTTTCCAAGGGCAGCTGGATGCAGATGTGCATGGGGATCACCCTACTCATCACCCTGTATCCTCTTGCCCCGCGGGAACAGTGGCAGGAACACAAGTACAGGAGACTCGGCGCTCTGGCCACCTGATGCCAAGTCACCCAGAGGCGAAGCCGCAGGGCGCCAGGGGCTCACAGCCATCAGAGGGGGTTGCGGCAGTTGTTCCTTTTCACAGAGTGAGTCCCACACCCCAGCCCATTTTCCCCACGTTAATCACCAACAGCCACTTCCTTTTTAGGGATTAGCTGATACCAAAATCCCTCGGTCAGGGACACCCGTGAGTATTGGAAGCAACCGGAGTGTGTCTGTCCTGAGGGTCCCCAGCCAAAGCCAGCTCAGCCAGGCCTACTCCCAGGGCTCCCTGCACCGCAGCGTCAGCCAGCTCCTGGACGGTCAAGACAAGAAAGTCCTACTCGACGACTCACTGTGGGAAACCATCGTGGGCCACAGTAGTGGACTGGTGAGTGGACCCCAGGACCCCGGACCCTGAACTGCCCTCAGCTTCCCATGCATGTGCATGCACACACACACACACGCATGCACACACACACGTGCACACACACACACACAGCATCCTCTGAGCGCCTGCAGACTGGTTCACTAGTGTGACCACAGACGTTTGTAAGCAGGGTCGAAACTTCATTGTGTTCTCTGGGTATAAAGTAGAAACACTCACAAGATAAATGCAGGAAAAGAAAAACCAAAGCAACAGGTGTGTGGCTACACATTGAGGTAAGTGACAGAGAACACCAAAGTCACCCTTAGAGAAACGGGAACCTTGTACAATCTAGACACCTGGAAACCAGCTTAGCAGGAGAGACAGCATACCCTACGGGCTGCAGCTGGGGGGCGGGGAATCGGCTCCGCAGCTGGTGGGGGGATCTGGGGATCACCCCATTGCAGGTGTGGAGTGACGAGTCCCCCAGAAACGCTATCAGCACAGATGCTGAAATCCCAGCTACTGGGAAATTTCGAAAGTCCTCGCAGGCTTGTAGCCTAAACAGGTTAAAGGCTGGAAATCTACAGAGCTGCTCTCAGGGTCAGAAAGCTCTGCAGATTCCAGCTGCAGGACCCACGGAGTCCCTTGTGCTAGTTCAGGGTTTCACCCAGAGGGGTATAGAGGGTGTCATCTACAAGAACTGGGGGATCAGGGAGACTGACTGGGGTCAGGGCCAGGCATGCGGGGTTTCATTGGATGCCAAGACCAAGGGCCAGGAACAAAGGACTCGAGTTTCCTCGGCTCCCCAGCTGGACTCTGTGACTGACACATCTGATGCATGGAGGTGGGCTGGGAGGTTCCCAGTGACCCTGCAGAGACCCCCGCCTCTCCTGTAGCCCTGCCCCTAAGGTGCCCAGGGTTGGGTCTGGGAGAAAGTGTTGCAGCTGGAGGAATCCCTGGCAAATACTACAATTTAAAGAAGAAGGGGAACGGGCCCCCATTTCCCCAGCTGTGTGCACCGCCCCTACCCCATCCAGGGTGGGCACGCCCAGCCTGACAGCAGCAGGGAACTGTGCATCTTCCCTGTGCTCGCTGCGCCAGGGGCCCTGGACCTCATCTGATCTCACACTGCCCACAGATCTGGGTGCCAGCACCCAACAGCACCGGGGGTCTCTGATATCCCTATCCCCTAAAGACCTGGTCCACTCAGCAGCACCCAGGCAGCAGACAGGTGCTCAGGCCCCTGGCGCAGCACCCTCCTCAGAGACCCAGTTGAGCAACAGAGCCCCGCCAAGCATGCCCAGGGCAACCCCCAGGCCCATAGAGGTCACAGCTCCCACTGCAGGAAAAGCCACATATACTCTGCCATCCACACCACCTCAGACTGCGCCTGCACAACCTGCAGAAGCAGCAAGACTCTGTCCAACTCTGATATGCTGTTTGTGGTGCCCAAACTCATGAATCCTGATCAAGAAACCTCCAGGGACATTACACGAAGATATTACCAGGCAACATATTCAGCATCACACTACAAACTGATTGTCAGACACACCTGTAGAAGACACATCTGTAGGAGGAAGCTGTTTACTAAGAAGGGTATCTCATAGCACTTACATACCTAATTATACATATGATGAATATGTATATTATAAATACACACACACACATATAATTTATGATGTATCCTAAAGTTCCTAACTCTCTAGCAATAGACCCCAAAGATACCAAAGTGGATGCAGGTCAGAAAAAGAATCCAAAGGAAAGTCAATGCCACAGTGCAGCCTGCAGTCCCAGCACCAGGAGGCCAAGCAAGAGGATCCCAAGTTCTAGGCCAGCCTCGGCTATGGAAGGAGTTCAACGCCAGCCTGTCATAGAAGACTAAAAACAAAAATCTAATGATTTTTTTAAAGCTCAATGAAACCCAAGAGACTATAGGAAGGCAAGGCGTGGTATGAGTGAAAACATAATGGACAGTTTTATAAAGAACAAGGCGAAAACCTTAGAAACGAAGAGCTCGATAGACCAGATTAAAGTTCAGTTAAAAGTCTCAACAACAGATTAGATTACGCAGAAGCTTAATTGGAGCTTGAAGACAGGTCTTGTGAAACAGCAAGTTCAGAAAGAAATCTTAGAAAATGAGAGAGAATGGGAACCTTACAAATCTTCAGGGTACCATTAAAAGATCAAATAGCCATATCAGTGGCATACCCAAAAAGGAGGCATACCCAAAAATATGTTTCATGAAATAACAGCAGGAAATTCCCTGAATCTTGGGAAGGACATGGGCATCCAGGTAGATGCATGCTACAAAATCCCGAAGTAAAAATGACCAGAAAAGAACCTCCCTGTGACCTGTGATTACAGTCAAAGTGTCAAAGGACAAAGAAAAAATTTTAAGACAAAAATACGAAGTACTCAGCTTCCTATGGTGCTGTAACAGGCTGCCACACACTGAAACAGCACAGACGCTCTACCCTCGGGAGGCAGCGGTCCAGCATGGGTTGCTCCCTGTCCCATTTTCACTGGCCTGGTGGTCTCAGGGCTCCTGGTGCCTTCCTCCTCCTCCTCCTCCTCGAGGTGAACTTCCTCTTCCATGCGCTCAGCCCAGTGGTACCCATCAGGGGCTCTTTGGAAGGCAGCCGCATGGGGCTCTAATGACCATTCCTAGCACTGCTGTCCATTACGGGACCTGCCCGGCTGACCACGGGACTGTGTGGCACTGTCGTGTTGCATTTGCTGCCCTGGCAGAATTGCTCTGTTTTGCTCAACTCTGCACCTGCCGGAGGCTCCTGGCCTTCCCTCCCTCGCTCTCACTGTTTTCACGCTGCTGAGTTGGTCCTGCTTTTTGTTACAGCTCCGCAACTGTATTATTCCATTTCACAGCTCAAGTTTTTAACTGGCAGGGATAATTATGTTAAGTTGACACGAATAATTACTAATGGATTATGTTAAACATGCAAAATGGCGGTTTTGACATGTTCAACCTAATACATGCAAGGCTTAGCTGAATTATTCTTAATCTTCATAAACTCTAGAAGGTCACTGGCTGCTATTCTTCGCATCTTTAGAGAAGGAACCGAAGCTTAGGGAGATTAGAGACTTACCCAAGGGCACACAGCTAGTAAGTAATCTGCGTGCGGTGGAAACTGTAGAAACATCAGACTCCAGAGCCTCCAGACACATGACAGTACCACGAGGCCATTTTTGCTTAGTGTTTACAGTACTGGTAACGGGCAGTGTGCAACCAGTGAAGGGCTGGGAGGGTGACAATGCATGACAAAAGACCTAAAGTAATTCCAACATTACTGATCCTATTCTATATTACAGACTACAGTGAGTACAGAGCACACCAGTTTGTGTTGGGCTGTTCTGCTTAGTCTCTAAATTAAACCTTTTTAAACAATTATATCTCTGTTTAGTCTCCCAACTTTAGAGATAAGAAAAATGACGCTAACTTATCACACACACTTTAGATTAGTTCATGTCCTGACTGTAATGTGATCTTCTCAGTAAAGAAAGGGCTGTGTCCAACTCCACCTGAGCGTGGGACCCTGGCTGTGAAGACTTTAGTGAATATGTACTCAGTACTTCTCATGGTAGTACATCCGTAGTTACTGATTGTTAGCAAGGACCATAACCAACAGCACCTGGCTTGTTTTTCAGTACGTAGATGAAGAGGACCTGATGAATGTGATCAAAGGTTTCAGCTCAGTGACCAAGGAACACACCACGTTCACCGACACTCAGCTGTGACACTGCCTGCTGTGAGGCCCATGCTGGGCTCTGCATCCTGCAGCCCCTGTAGCACCCGATACAGGTAGTCCGTGACACTTCAGAGACGGAAGCTGTTCTCAAAATCATTCCTCTCTAATAGAGATGTGGGAAGTGTTATTTTTCTGGTTGTCTGAAACAAGGGGTGATAACTGTAGGAAAACGCCCGTTTCCTGTTTATTTGATGGAAGATGAAGCATGTAATTTTCACTCAGCTCTGGCGGTGAGGCATGAGCTAAGTAAATAAGCAGTGGTGATTTCAAGATGGACCACAGGTGTTGCAAGGAGGTGTTACTGCTTTCGAAACCAAGGGAATCTACTGAGATGCTGCTGCCACCAGGATTTTGAAAAAAAGGCGCCTGGAACCTTCAGAGCTGCAAGATGAAACTCCTACTTCAGGCCGCACTGAAGCGGAAAAAAAACAATGCTGAGCTACGGACAGGCACTCGGCTGAAGTTCCGTTTTAATGACGTTATTAGTGATAAACACCAGCCTCCTGCCAGGGCACCACGTCACTTGGTCACAAATGCTGCAGTTCCTGCAGTCAGGAACTGTTGGTCTCCTCAGGGGCAAACCACTAATTTATATGTTTTAGAAAGAAAACTTGAACTAATGTTTTTCATATTTTACATAATTTGGAAACTCCAATCAGCATTTCCATAAAGTTCTGTCAATTCACTAACTAGCGTGAAAATAACACTTCTTCCACTTAGCACATTTCAAACACAAACTGTTTGGTTTGTTATAACTGTTATAATTAGACCTCGTGATGTTTAGAGAAAAACACATTATTCATGCTCCTTCCAGTTTTGAAACTGTTAATACATTTACATGTAAGTGCAAAAGTATCAGTATACACATACCTATTATTTGCAGCTTGTCTCATTTCAGAGAAGTTACTCCTTTAGTGCTAGAATCTGCAGGAATACATGACATACCTCCTTTCTTATGGGTCAGAAACTTCTGCTATCTGCTCTATTTGGATCTGTTATTAGTGAAAGTCCCATAGCAAGAGAAAAGAAGTCCCATCACGAACATAAAATTTTTCCTAGAAAAATTTTCCTAGAAAAATATTACCCCCTTTATTTATTCTTAAAGGTTTTAACCACCACAGGAAATTCATTTGAATACTTGTGTCTCACACACTATTGTCTGACAAGACTTTGTGACTCCATCTCTAAGCAGGTGATTTCTGCAAAGCCAAGCTGGCAAAAGGTTAGCTACATTACTCATCCTGCCTGAAAACCATGAATTGCCCCCAGGTCTGGCAGTCAAAGCCTGGGGACTCTAGGGGTACCGAGTTGTCATCCAAACCTGTGGGCGAGCAGCTCCCGCCCTGGCCATCTCCAAAGCCTGCCAGCCCACGGCTCAAAGGCAGACCAGCAGTGCACGCTTCTTCCCCCACAACTGCCACACACCAGAGCGCGGAAATGGCTGTCACCTTGGCATTGGCTGCACAAGTTAGGTTTTGTTTTCTCACCAAAAGTTTTTTATTCTTAACTGGAAACAGTTCAGCTGAATTTCTTGGTTTTCATTCCCTGTTGCAACTTGTCAAGGGGTTGTTTAAATGAACCCCACCCCAGGCTGAGTAACAGCCCCTCCTGAAGTGTCCAGGGTACATCGGGGAAGTGGCCCTTTCCAGCCCCTCACCTGGGCTCTATGCAGGGGTGTGCACCTCTGCCAGTTTGATCTGCTAGTCACACGTGGAGTCAGGAGACAGCGAGCTCACCCCATTTTCTAAAAGATCACCACCTTTACCATAGCATAGCTTTAAAAGTAGTTTTATAAGTTTAGAACACAAAAGCTGGAGAACCGTGGGACACTGCATCCTAAATCACTCTCCACTTTCTGGTCTAACTCAACTTTGTGAATTAACTCAAGTCGCGTTTGACCCCCATGGCTTAGGGCAGGCAGAGGCACGCACAGCTTCTGCCCAGACCATCTCTAACCCTAACCCTAACCCTAACCTGAATCTATTCTAAGGAAGAGTCCTGTCTGACTGTTCTAATTGGCGCCATGTACCAAGCCTCTGTTACACAAATACACAGACCGTCCCCTAGGGGTTCTGACCCAACTGGCTGGGGTGGGCCAGGCCTCAGCAGGCCCCAAGCAATGGCTCTTGCTGAGAACTTGCACAGCAAGCACCTCCAGGAGCCTTCCACTGCTCGTCCCTCAGAGCAGTGATCAGCGCTTTTTTTTTTTTTTTTTTTTTTGTCTTTTTCATTTTTATTGGTACCGGGGATCGAACTCACGACTGCCTGCTTGCAAGGCAGGCGCTTATGCCGCCGAGCTAAACCTCCAGCCCCATGATCAGTGCTTCTCTGACACACATTCTGGACCTCCTCACTGCTCCTGTAATCTGTACGACCTCAATCTCTGCTTCATTTAAGAACCACATGTTCTAACTGCTGGCTAGCAGAGCACACCTGTATTTCCCTAAGGGCTTCCCAGAGCTGTGTCTTTGGAGATGACCTCCCGCAACTTCCGCCAAACGGACAGCGTCTGCATAGATTTGTTATAGTACCTCATGCTGACATAACACTCATTAGCATCCACGTAAAAATGAGCCAACCTGTAAGAAAGAGCTTGTGTCAACAGCAGCTGATTTCCAAAGCATGAGTATCAAGTGAATCAGCCTAAAGATGGTTACTATTTTAATGTGAACCAAGTTTAATGTGTTTGTGAAAAAGCACCCTGAGCATCTTGAGTCACACAGGAAAGATAAATGCATCCCCACTTAAGGAAACAGGCTGTCTGGCCACCTCCTGATGTGTCTTCCAGTCAACTGCGGCACTTTCTTCAAGCTCTTGAGTCCCCACCACCGAAGACACAAACAGGGAAGGACTCTGGTGGGGTCTGGTGATTGTGGGTGAGCATGTTAACGGTGAGATGTGAGTGTGGATGCGGAAGCCAAGAATACACACAGGGGCTTTTCACGGAGGAAACTGGGAGGGCAGGATGCCGGGTGGTGTCCTGTGTGGTGTCAGTGCTGACATCCAGGACACGAGGGCATCCAACTGCTAGGGTACTGCTAAGGGTAAACGGTACCTTGAGATTAAATACAAATAAATTGAAAAGCTTTCTGTCACTGAGAAAAATTCTGTTTCGTTTCTTACCCATCACACAAAGTACATAAATGCACTGTGGCTTTTCTCCCAGCCACAAACTTAAGGATGGAAGTGTGAGGAAAACCACTGGGCACGTGGAAGGCTCCTTCAGCTTTACCAAGTTCCAGGGCAGGCTCACATTCCTGGGGTCACACCCCGCTTCAGTCTCCCCTCTGTGAAGGAAATCACCAAGCTTGTACTTGCGGCGTACTGCAATCTACAGTCAGGATGGTGTGGAATTTTACCGTAGGACAGCCCTTGTGTTTGTTTTCAGTCTTTTATTCTCAGTCAATACAAATTTCACACAATTGTGATACTGAAAAACAGCGTATTGTTACAGTCCTAGGGATTTTGAATTATGGTGCACATTTTCCTTACTGGTGATGGAACTTAGTCTTTATATATACTGAATTCCTCTCCTTAATTGGAGGGAGCAAAAGGAGGCACACACACACAAACACGTAGGTACATTTCAAACAATAACTACTCAGCCAGACATACTGTCTTAATAATTTTTATTTGATTAAGCTGATAAATAAATACCGAGATTTTTGTGAAAATCACTGACAATACAGTAAACTTTAAAGCATTTATTCCAACTTCACGCACATATATTTCTTGGAATGGAAATATATACACATTATTTAGCAATGAATGCTTGTTTAAATTTACACTTCCCCTATTTGCTGAAACTTGACATTCATTCCAATTAAATGAAGGAAAAATGTACAAAAATTTTTTTCTTCTCTTACAATTCAAAATATATTCAAAACAACATTTTTACACCAGTAAAAACCTTTAACCAAACATCCACAACTACACATCCTTAAGTGTAGTATAATGGGCATATTTAATTATTGGATTATTAACACTGAAAGTAATATGGTGATTCCTGAAACAAGGCAAATTAGCAACTGGGAGAGTTTTCCTTTTGGATACTCAGAGCTCTGCCCTAATTATTATTTTTTATGTCATCTGCAAACATGGACAATTGCTCCAACTTGAAATAAAGTTCATGGGGACTTGAAGCATTAAATATTGGTGATGCACGTTAAGATCTGAGAACTGCCAACAAGAATCAGAAAATGACCCACAAACTAAAGTGACCCTAGAAGGCCTCCCGCACAGCAGTCTGGCACTGACACTAGTGTTTTGAGTTACATGGTATTTTCCACAGACATAGCACCTCATCAAGTATCTGGTAAACACACTGCAACACAACAAGGGCCCAGGACCAAGGAGAATTACGTGACTCACTTACGGTGACATTGCAGGACGAGAGTCAGCACGGTTGGGATCAGCAGTGTGGCCTCTGGTCCCCACGTCTGGCCCCGAGCGCACACGACAGCACCCCACTAAGACAGAGACTACGAGACGAGCAAGCTACATGTTACAGTGAGTCCGCTCCATGAATGATCTGTCATATGTGCCTGAAAACTAAAAAATGTCCAAAATGTCCGTAGATGTGATTGCTGTATCTCCTTATCCAGGCAACTGTGTTAAAAAGATACTAGCTGCAGTCCAATTTTATCTCTTAGTGTAAAAACAAATGTACTGAAATCCAGGAAAACATAATTTCCATCTGAACCTAACGAACCGCCACTCCCAGGGTGAATTCTCACAAGCTGTACTCCTGACCCGAAGAATCGCTCTTCTTGTGCCGAGGAGATGGCGTGGTCTTTGTGGGCGACGGGGAGGCGGTCCCGGGGGAGTCGGGGCCTCCGTCCGAGGTGCTGGGGGAAGAGGCGGGATGGGGCGCCTTCCTCCTTCCCAGGAGCCCACCGCCCTCGAAGCCGCCCTTCTTCTTCAGTTCTGTTTTATTTTCATTCTCCTCTTCTGATGACCGCTTCCTGGCTTCCAAAAGCTCCTCAGCCACTCTGTGCACCTCCAGACCGCCCTCCAGCTCTCGGGAGCTCTTCGGCTCGGTCCCTGGGGACCTCCTCTCAGCTACGTGGCCCTCGCCCGCAGCTCCTTTCACCTCGGCCGGCGCTGGCCCCAGGCCGCCGTTCTCGGGGACCGCTCTCTCGGGGCCTCTGCTGAAGGTGACCATCTGGAAATCCCTATAGCTGTGGAAGCTCTCCGTCCTCCTGGCCCTCGCTAGCAGAGGGCTCTCCCTGTAAGGCCGCACAGAGCCATAGGTCGCCGCCTCGTGGAGGGGCTCATGGTACTGAAGCTGAAGGCTGGAAAGGTTTTTAAAAGTGACAGCTCAGAGTTAACCCTGGCTTCTCAGGAGCATATCATTAATTACACTACCAATTAAAACACGTCATATAAAGTATATTTATATTTCCCTATACAAAATGCACTTATCAAGTAGTCTGAGTTACTCATACACATAAAAGTACCAATGCATGTAACACCAAACATCCATCCGTCCACACTCAATTATCCTTATCCTGGAGCTGAGGCACTGAAAACAGATGCAAACAAAATCTTTAAATCCAGTAATGAATCACTATAAACCAGATTTCTCTCTGAATGTGGCAATCTCCTGTCCATATAATAAAAAACACACTCTCTCCATGTGAAGTATGTACCGCTTAACTTTAACTGTAGGGTGACATCACCACCTCTGATTAAAACTGTCCCTGAGGCAGGCAGCCCACACGCCACATGCCACCTGATGCGGTGAAACCGTCTAATTGCTTTTCAGTGAATTCTTGTCACCTAATTGGCATTGGGATTAGCAATAATTCACTAAATAAGTCAGAAGCAAAGATGGGGCTCAGGGTACAGCTCAGCAGGAGAACAGACACTTCACTTGGACGCGTGAAGCCTTAGGTTCAATCCCAGCACCCCCGCACCATGAGGGAAAAAAGGGCAGGGATGCTTTTCTAGGTAAAGAACTGGAGAAATTTACAGACATTCTGAAACACTGAGCACCAACATGAAGTGTGAATCACAGACACACTCAAAGAAAACCCTGCTGACCCCCTCCATCACGGCAGCGCCAGGCCCAGCCCCCACCCACCTGGAACTGGACTCTCGCAGGCGGCTGTGCTGAACCACAGAGGTGGCAGGGCTGATGTTCGGGGTGGCGCAGCGCGACGTGCTCAGGTCACACTGATCCAGCAGCTTGAGCAGCTCTTCCTCAGTCGGGCCCCCTACGTCTGAGGGGGATAGAGGCTCAGTGCACCGCGGGCCTCGAGGCCCCCAGGAGCAGCGCCGAGCCGGGCACCTACCCTTGTCCTCGCTCCTGCCGACCATGTCCATCGCCGTGGTCAGGTCCCACATCTGGATGCTGCCGTTGGTGTGGCCTGTGAACAGGTAGCGCCGTGGCCGCGAGCCCATCCTGCTGGAGCCCTCGCACTCGCGTACGGTGAAGGCGGAGATGGTCGTGCAGTCCACAGCCTGGATCTCGCAGATCCTGTGAAGCACCAGGACGGTGTGACCGCGGGGAGTAGCTTCTGCCTAGAAGCTACTCCTAACTTCCCGTTTACATGGCTACGGCTGCACACACAACTGGAGCAGGCTCAAGGGACTCGGGCAGCATCGGCAGGAACACAACTCAAGCTCAGCTACTGTCAGTCTAGAGAAAGGTTCTCACACGGCAATGCATCAACGAACTGAAGTAAAGCAAAAGTAAGGCAGACAAGCGGAAAGGGCCTGATAAGAACACATTCTTTAAAAGGAGCTGCTGTGAAAAAAGGCAGAAAAAAAAGTAAACAAAATCAGGCTGAAGAGATCTTGAAAGTCATTAAAACTTATACGCAAAAAAGGAAAAACAAAAAAGCAAAGAAGAAACCAGAAAGCAGGGGGAAGGCCCTAGGAGCTGGCCTATCGGTGTCCTCTGTGAGGGTAACACTCGGGTACGGATAGTGAACTCAGGGCCTCGTGCGTACTAGACAAACACCACACTGAGCTGTCTAATCCATCCTCTTTGTAAATTTTGAGACAGGCCTCACCTGAATTGCACAGTCTGCCACCAGACCTGCAATCCTCCTGCCTCAGCCTTCAGAGTAGCTGGAATTACAAATAGGTGCCACACTGCCCACTGAAACAATTACCATCTACCCATCAATGAAGAACCAGGGATAACGCAAAGCAATGATTTCCCCGATCATATAAGGGCTAGCTAATTGTATTCCAATGAACTATTTATCTCAGCTTGCTTCAAAACAAGCTTGAAGGAGCTGATTTTAAAAAAAGGAAAAGGAATCAGCATGAGGTAAAATCTGAGGAAGAGGAGACACAATCTACGTAAGGGTGAGAGACATCACAACACCAGTGAGTGGAAACCGAAGGGTAGCTGGCTTCTAGTCAGCGAGGAAGCGGGCGCTGACACTGGCTGCGCGCTGGCTCGGCTCGGCGCTGGTTTCAGGGAAAGGCTTCCGGTATTTCACCACTGGACACGAGACTTGCAACAATGATGTTTGTAGATTATCGGGTTAAAGGACTTCCTTACGTATTTGCTAGGATTTTAAAAACTCACAAATGAGTGTAGCTTGTCAAATGTATTTTGTTTATCAAGATGAACATAATTTTTCTCACTACTACTTAATATTTACAAACTTATGAATAATTAAAATAGATTCCTTCAGATAAATCAACAGTTGTTTGATGTTTTTGCTCTTCCTCCTCCTTTAATGCAGACTCCTTTAATGCTCCTTTAATGATTCCTTCAAATTTTTCTATTGATTTTTCCCCATTTCCCTACAATAAAATCCTTTCGTTTCATTCCCACTGAGAGGCTGAACTGCCTGAACACTAAGCTTTGCTTCCCAATAGATTCATCAAGACTGATTTTCCACTCACTTCTACAAAGTAACTTCTACTTATTTTAATAACTATAGTTTTCCCTCAGGAACCAGAAACTTAAGTGATAAAATCAGTTTCAGCATGCAGAAACTAGTTGATTACAATATACTGACACACTCTGAAATAATACAAGGGGTTATAAAACTGACACGGAGATGACATCCTCCATCACTAAAGGATGTTATGACAGCACTTGTAATAAACACTTGGCAGCTGCTTGCTGAATATACTCCAAACCCTAAATCACTGTGCTTTGCAACACATTTTGTGAGATAACAATTTGGCCTCTATAGTACAGGGTTCTAATACATTTTTTTCTAAAATAAATATATAAAGCAAGCTACCAAAAAGATGGTTTGGTACAAAAAAGTCATTTTCTGCAATTAATTTGCTGATCAGCTGCTAATGAACACAAGGAATAAACTTTGATATTCCTTTGATAAAAATTTAGTATCTCTCAAGTTTACTCATTAAAATACTGGGCACTAAGGGATATGCTAAAGAAAGACAACCAAGAAATTTTAAAAATATCAGTAGCATCAGTAACATTAAAATGAACACAGATAACTTGCTCAATAACTACAAACATGAATTTTCCTTTCTTCATTGGTCTCACATGCAAAAAAATCTATTTTTGAAGAGACATTAAAGCTCAATTCAATACTACAAACAATTTTAAAAGAAGTAAAATTTCAGTCAACACAGCGGAAGAAACTTTTACTAAACATCTATTATAGTCTCAAAACTATGTGTGGTATTTTTGTATGTTTTTAACTCATTTTATCCAATAAAAATAGTCAAATCTTATTTTGTAAAGAAACTGAATCATATTTAGTAAAGAAACTAGATTTCAGGGAACCAAATAAATTTACACAGCTAGGAGCAGGAGATAACCAGAATTAGAACTGACTTTATCTGTCACCCAACTCACTGCACCTTCATTTGACATCTAAACAGAAATCACTCCTGAACAGTGCCGGCCCAGTCATGGAAGCTCAGGGCAGCAGCATTCGCGGTGTGCAGGTCTTGAGGCAAACACAAAAAAACAGAACTTTTCTTCTCATGCAAAAAGGTTAACTTCCCTCTGTACTGAAGTGGGTAGAAGGTGGAAATGGTGGAAACTATGAAACAAAGGAAGCACGGGCAGTGAACTGTGTGCTGTGTCAAGATTATGCAAACATTACAGCTGTTAACGAGCACGATTTAATGCTTCTGCGTCTCTATTCTTTAAGGTACACTGACGGAAAATCTGGAGTACATTTTATTTGAGAAGTAAATAATGTGTACAGATCTATAATGTAAAGGGATTAAAAATACTTAAATCCCAGGCTTCTGTTCTCTAGTAAGGAACTGAATGTTCTCATGAAAAAAACTGATGAATGGCTATACTGGGCATAAAAAATTCACCGCCCTCTTACTCTACTACAACACTAGTTGTTCCTAATTATCCAAAGTTGTTCCAAAATTATCCAGTGAAAACTTTAAGTTCTAATTTATCTCATGTTGTTTTTAGTTTATGGAACAAGACAATGACACAGACTTCTCTAGGTCTGCTTTAGTCACCCGCTTGCATCAGTGTAACAAACTGGCACAGGTTTCACAGACAAACAAGCTCCCAGCCAGAGCGTCTTTACAGATGGTATCACCTCTTCCCAGTAGACGACAGCCGGACGAACAATTTGTTAGTGATGGGAACAACTTTCTGAATAAACACCTGCTGGTCATCTCGCTCTCCAAAAGGCCCTTGGGCAGAAAAGAAAAAAATATCACAGAAAGTTCATAACAATTCGTTTCAGTTTACAAGACCAACAACACCTCTCCTGCAAAAGGAATTCTTCATGTCTATCAATGTGTCTTCCTGAACTTCAGTCAAAATCAGATGCAAAACATGTTAGAAGGACTGCCACTGGAAATCCCTTCCAGGTGGAGTGTTACTTAATCTTCATGCTTCAACTAGAAATGCTCCTAAAGGTTGGAGTTTGGAAATTTGTGCATTCATAATGAGGTATCTTGGGAGACGGGACCTAAGTTTAAACACAAAAGTAATGTTCCACATGTACCTTACATGCACAGACTGAGAGTAACTTTATATATTTTATATATTTATATTTTATAAATTTTATATAATTTTGTATATAAAATGAAGTTTCAGCTGAGGATATATCTTAGCGACATTGCACTTGTCTGACCAGCACAAGGTTCTGAGTATGATCCCTGGTACAGAAAACAACAAACAGCAAAACTATATATATATATATATGTGTGTAGTTTATCATGTAAAGTTTTTCACTTTTCTTGTTAGGGTTGAAAAGTTTTGGATGTTGGAGTATATTTAGGATTCAAATTTTTGGATTAGGGACGCCCAACCTGTACTGTTACATCTTGCAAGGTTTTCAGTCTGAAAACCAAAGATTCAATTATTTTCACTGTACTCTGTTGAACAAAGCAGGCAACAGTATAAAAAGTACTTACGTACAAAACCTAACAATATCAAATTTTAATGTCTTATATCATGTTCATTAGCTAAAATAATATCAATTCACTGTTTATAAAACTTGTGATGAGATGCAATGAAAATTTCCAAAGACAATATATCCCAAGACATATGAATCACAAATATTGAATGAATGAAACAATGGCATCTTTATTAGTCAGCAAACGCACTGTGCTTTCCACATGCCATGATACATGCTTTACATGCGTTAAATCATTTTAATCATCACCACCACATAAGGAGGCACATTATTACCTCCATTTTATAGATGACAAAACTCAGACACCAAGAGACTGGACAAGAGGCGCCACAGGTGCTATGTACAGACCCAGAAATGGAGTGGACTCAGCCTGCCTGGGCACCACCGCCTCTCACTGCACACAACTGGATACGCTATTCAATTACTGAGCCACTTTCTCAAGTTCAACCCAACGAGATGGCGCGACAGCCCCATCCAGGCCCTGCAGACAGTGACGACGAATAAAACTCCCATGGAGACGGACCCTGTCTCCCCTGCCCCTTGTATCTCGCCAGATTATGCCGCTGCATGGTGCAGCGTTTGCCTAGCACACATTGGGCCCTGGGCTCATCTCCAGAACCATGAAAGAGTAAAAACCAGAAACAACCCAACCCGACCCTGACATGAGGTGCACCCATCATCTACACTTCCTACCTTACTCAGCTACCCACGCCCCCAATCCAGTCTCTCACCTCTCCCCAAAGTGACTCCTGTCCTTGGAACACAGGATGCCACTCGTCTTCCCTATTTCAATGGGGAGAAGTGAACAGGAATCACAAATGCGAAAGCTGAGGTTCTCTGCCTTTAACCCACTCCGTTACCTTCTGTCTTTCAGTCACTTCCAGTCCCCATGTCCCTGCTATCTATTACAATCTTACACAGCATTCACTTTATTCCACTATGCAGCCTAGGTGATCTTAAATCTTACACTTCTTAAAGTTTTCTGAAATCTTCACGTAAGAGATGAATGCAAATGTCATACTTTCATGGAAATCAATTCTGAGCGCTCCTTCCAGTCCTCCACCAGTATTGTAATTTCCGCTTCTCCACATGAGTGGAGAGGCCACTGGTCAACCAGGGAGTCCTGCAGCTCCAGTGCAGAAATCCCAAATGCACTGCACAGAGTCGCTTCAGAGGGCCCAGATGACCCCATGGCTGGGTGAGTGACCGTGTCTGCTGCACAGCAGAGACAGACAACCTTTCCACGCCTCCTGCGGACACCACAGCACATCGATATAACATACTACACTGTTTCCCAGTGGACATTACGATGCCATCAAAAGCATCTGATTATTCAAACACACAGACCTTTCCTAGCTTTGGGTTTATTTTCAGTAGATTACTGGTAAAAAAGAAGACATATTAAAAGTTTCTAGTGTGAACAGTTCCTCTGGTTTTAGTTATTTACAAAAGTGAACATCTGGAGATGATGTTATTTGAATAAAGGCTAGTAGGATAAAAATGCTTATGTAACTTTGAAACAGTAAGAAACGCTCCATAATATAATTCTGCGAATTGAAAGAAACTATTCAATCTTGAATGAGTTTCAAAATTAAAATGAAAAATCTACATTTAAGACTTAGATTTCTACCGCCACTGACAGACCTCATTGGTGCCGCTCGCATGCTGTCAGACAGTTCTCCGAACGTAACCCACCTATGTCATTCCCAGAGGAGCAGCTCCCCTGGCTCTCTGGCTCCTCCAAAGACAGAATCTTGAATGACGCTAAAGGTGTGGAGCCCGGCTGAGTAGAGATCATGCCTCTGAACCGCGTCACCGTCCATGTGCGCACATGATTGTTATCTGCACAGACTAGGAGGGAGAGAGAATGTAAAAGGTCACAAGATGCAGTTATAAGGGCACCACCAAGCGCACTTAATTTTTAAAGCACATTTTAATTTTTTCATTATGCTCTACATTAAACACATTAAGTGGCAAATGACACGTTTATCTTAAAATCACAATTTGTATCGAGCTAATGAAAGTGAGAGAACTGAATAGCTCATCTGATGCAAATGTAAGGTACATGAACACATTTCTAGGACCTTTATAAAAACAGACCGTAAGGTATAAATACAGAGACAGTTTAAGAACTATGTAAGAGACAAGGTCTGTGGGGAACCATACGGTAAGTGGTTTCCTACTTTATTTTTCCAGTCACAGAAACCACTTATGTCACTCAAGTTCAGCAGTTACTGAACAATTGCTGTCACAAGTGACATCTGTCAAGTATTTGGTAGGAACCAGCTGCTTATTGACCACCTGAGGTCACATTAAGGAACGTTAAGACTCTGTGCTGGAGCTGAGCATTCCTTTTATATAAAGTAAGAATGTCTGCATTAAGAAGCACGATCTATTTTATTCCTTTTTTGAGTGAAAATACTGTAAATGGTTGTGTAAGGAGATTCCTCCTAACCACCCACCTTTATGTATTTATCCAAATATGTATTCCATTAAAGGTAAAAATAAAAAACGGTATCACTAATCCAAGAGCTATACTTTTTGGCATGTCTTAATTTAAAAAAACTAATGTATTGTTTACAGTAATTTCAGAAAATCTGTTATTATTAACAAAGAGCCACCAGTAAACATTAATAATGTATCCAAAACCATTTCTAGGCACACATAGCAATTTTCTACTGGTAAAGTATCAATTACATATTTTAAACCAAACCTTGTAAGAATTTTACTTTTGGAAAATAGCAACATCTGTAAATGTTTTATTCTTATGAAATAAAATTCTCCATTCTCAGAATGTCAATTTTCTAACAAAAGTGACATTTTTAGTTTCAGGATATGAAATCACAGGAGATAATTTCCTGATTTCACTCTTAACTTTACTAGGATTTAGAAAAATAACTTAAATAATTTTGGCTGATTTAACTAGGTATTTGTAATAATAATTCTTGGTATAAGTATTAAACAAAATTTTTGCTTTCAAGCATTAGAACACACCGGAAGAAAAACCAATGTGCTTACATTTATGCTGATGTCCACTAGGTGGCAGACTACCATAGCTAAGCATATGTAAAGTGCTCCAGACCTTTGGTTAAAACGTACATTTTTCTTTTCTTTCTTGAGACGAAGTCTCACTACAGAGCCTGGCACTGAAATTGTGATCTTCCCGCCTGCCTCAGACTCACAGACTGGGGTGACAGGCATGTACCTCCATGCCCAGCTAAACAGAACTTTTTTCTTCATCATCTTTATTTAAACTTCAAACCTACACGAATGTTTCACGTTAAAATACAAATTCTACTAACTTCTTTGGCACTGCATCCTACACCAGCAGTACAGCCAGAATAACAGCAATGAGTGTGATCTCTAAGCACAGTCATGTAATACACATGCTGCCAGAAGGAGCCCGTGCTGTCATTTAAACCATACGGCACTTGTTCAGCACGTTTTATGTGCCAAGAACTACGCTAAGTGCCAAGACCAACAGCAGAACCAAAGTGCTGTAGGTGCACAACTTCTCCTCTGTAAGAGGAGATGGATGGTCCACAGCTAACAGACAGTCAAGTGAGAAGTCCAAGAAGAAAGCACACCAGCTATCGCTTGATAAAGGCACTGCCGGGCAGGTGTTTGCTGCTCACACCGACGGCCAATGAGGGTACATTTGAAATGGGGCCCGAATGACATGCTGGCAGCCAACAGGAGTCTAAGTGACACATTTCAAACAAAAAGGACAAGCACAGTTCTAAGGTATTTTTAAAAAACAAAACCAATAGGTCACAAGCAAGAGCAAAGGGGTGGAGGGTGAGGAAGAGAGCTGGAAATACACAGAATCTAGAAGAGAAAGAATGATGCCGAAAATTAAGTTTATTTTAAGTACAATAGGAAACCACTGGAAATCACACCTACACTGCATTTCTATGAGACATTTGTGGCTGATGTGCAGAGTACAGAGACAGGCAAGGTACAGACAAGAGTTGACAATTACTGACCTGGGAGAGGGACTGAACCACTGGATGCAACAACCAAAGCAATGGCCCGGGACCCGGTCACATGCAGCAGCCCGCAGGATCTGCAGCGGACTGTCTGCACGTGAGAGTGAAGGGAAGAATCAAGGGGAGGTTCTGCTGTCCCAGCCCATGTGAGCAGATGCCTTCCAAGTCAGCAACGACACTAAATGCTGCTTTTGTCCAAGTTCAGTGGCACAGTCCTACTAACCCAACCACAGACACAGACAGCAGACACACAGGCTTGCAACTCTCTAAATAGTCAGGTGAAGGAGAAGTTTGGAGGTTCCTGGCACAGGGAGGGTAACTGCTGTTCCTATCACCAGGGGAGGCACAGAGTGCCTTTCAAAGCACCCTGCAGTAAGCCAGCACTCAGCAACCACTGGGGTGGAGGCCCAGCTGCCGGCTCTCCTTGAACAAAGGGCGATTATCTCCACTTTGGCTAAGGTGGGCCCTCTCTCCATGAAGGATACGTGCAGAGCTGGCTTTAAGCAATGTAAATAAAGCTGACTGAGGCACTGATGCTAATCTTTGCAGCAAGGCAACAGCCCATGGCTGCTTCTGTCCCATCCCGTGACTCCCAAAAAGCATGTCTGAGCCAGGCAGGATGAAGAACCACTGATGTCCACTGGGATCAACCTTGAGATAAGGAAGAGGCTGTGATTTCCCAAGCAGGAAAGTTTCCATCCCAGTAAACAAGCCCAATGCAGGCGCATGCCGCTTATAAAGATTTCACAGTGGGCCAGAACTGCCCTAGGAGAGGGATACATGGGAAGAGGAAGACTCCTCTAAGAAACAACCTCTACTGACAAACCTAGTTACACAACTCAGTTTTCACAAAGCCTTTCAGAAATCACCCATTCTCAACATGAAGTTCTTCAACGGACTTTTACTCTGGAGTCAGAAAGTGACACTCATCAAAATACAAATTCAGTACTCAAATTCTTACGGAATTCACTAATACCTGAAGTTTTCCAGTTTTATATGATTATAAGGAATTGCAAACAAGTGTTATCTTCAAAAAATCTTATCTATCCTACTAATTTATAAGATGATGGAATATCAAAGTCTTTAGACCTACAACTCTAGCATTAATCCTTATAATAATCACATTTATATCAAAATTCAAACTTAGAAAATTTCTTGCTGGGTGTGGTGGCACATGCCTGTAATCTTAGCACTTGGGAGACAGAGTCAGGAGGACCAACATAAGTTCAAGGCCAGCCTGGGCTACATAGTGAGTTCAAGGCCAGTCTGAACTATACAGCAAGACCCCATCTTGAGAAACAAAATTAAAAAGTACTTTTATTTCTTTTCATATATTTTTCTCACATGTAGCACCACGCTTGCATTCTTTGTTTTTCGGGGTTTTTTTGGATACAGGGTCTCACCATCTAGCCCAGGCTGGCCCTGAACTCACAGCTATCCTCCTGCCTCACCCTCCCAAGTGCTGGGATTCCTGGTGTGCATCACCACTTCCAGCCACTCTCACATTCTTTCAGCTTGTAAATAACACGCACAACCAAGTGCTCCATGAGGACCTCCTGCCACACCAGCGGCACCAGGTTACCTGATACCAGGTGCTTCTCCGACAGCATGATCTTTGTCACAGGGCTTCGGTGAACTGTGAAGGTCTGGAAGAGCTGAGGGCCTGACCCCACCGTCTCCGGGTGCTGCACAATCACTCGCACTGCTCCAGAGCTCGTACCATAGGCGATCTCGATCCAGTTCCCGCTGACACCTACAGAAGCAAGAGTGCAAAGTGGGATCCTCCCAGGTAGTGACAGACAGGGAGCTGCTGCTGGAGAGCTTTTCTGTAATACAGGGCGGAGCAGGAGCCAATGCCTAAATCCACTCAGCAAGGAAGTCTGGAGGCCTCCCTGCCCATCTTAAAATCACTGCATCTTTGAGAGGAATCTCTTCTTACCCCTCCAAGATAAAATGTTCCCCCAGCCCCTGTGTCCACCGTGGACTTATTATGTCCACGTCTTTTTACTCCCATCCTTCAGTGGCAGACTAAGCAGTCTTCTTTCTGCGTCTCTAAGTGCCGAGGCATGGTAGGTGCACGATACACGTTTCAGGAGTTCATGTTATCTTCCGTGCTACACCTGACACAGAACTAGCACAGAACACTTAAGCACCACCGCACGTAACTGCCAGTCTAGAGTGGCCATCCAATTTGCCTTGGCTCCAACACTGACTCACCCCTCATCATCAAGCCTCATGCACTTCGAACAGGTTCAGAACAGCAGACAACATAATAAACACCCACTTCACTTCTCGGCCTCCACCACACTTCCGTTCCTGCGCTGCCTCTTCTGACAGATCCCATTAACAAATTTAAAGATGGGCTAGAGATCAGTGTACATGCTTAAAAGCTCGCAGAGAACCAGCCAGCTTTACCAGCTCTCCTTTTTGCCTCACCTAACACACACAAATCAAAGGGGGAAGAGCGCCCCGTCGGAAACCCTCCCTAGCCCGAAGGGCGGCTCCACGCTGGTGCTCTACGTCTCCTGCCCAGACACAGCAGTGCTCTGATTTCTACAACTCGACCAGTTTTATGTCCACATCTAAATTATACTGGAGAAAACAAAAGCCAAAAACCTATACCCCATCTTCCAGCAAATTTTCTGTTAAAGGAACAAACTCTGCGGGACCCGCTGTCTGTCGCCCTCTCTCACCTTCCTAACTGTGGCATAAAAGCAGTCAAAGACAATCCAGGAAACCATTAACAAAACAAGATACTTGGGCAGCAACCCACAGCTCGTGACTTGTGCTAGAGCAAAACAGTTTAAATTTCAACCCAATACATGTGCACATAGCAAAACACCTCCTTCATCCTAAGGATTATGATTCCCTTTAACAGAGTCAATTAAACGAGTGGCTGTCCAAGTAACACAGCCAAACGTGTCGTTACTCCCCACCGTACGGCTTTTCTTTACCCTCTCTCCATTACAGTAGTCTTACGTTTTCCCTTAAGCTGATCTTTTCCTGCTTACCACTTTGCAGCTCTAGTCCGTGGATTCCACCACGATGGCCTCAAAAGGGCAATGGAAGCGGTATACCCTGAACTTCCAAATCAAATGTTTTCTTCTTCAATTTAAATGTCGGATTCTCAAGGGGACTGGGAACTCGGCTCAACAGTAGAGCCTGTGTCTAACATGCACCAGGGTCTGGGTCTAATTCCCAGCACCTCAGAGAAGAGGAAAAAGAAAAAAGAGAAATTCTCATGGAAGGTAACCTTACTGTCAAATACACATACGTCATAAGAAGTTTACTTCTTGGTTTAAAAAGTTGCCAATGCTGAAGTTAAATCAATTATTCCACATAAAAGTGTTTGTTTTTTCTAACTTCAATTATTATGATATAGTTCAACACGCTCCAGACAGGGCTGTAATCTGTATGTCTCGCTGCTGGGCTCTGGAGCCCTAGTGGTCATGCAGGACTGACCATTCCATTGGGCAGCAAGGGGCAGTGGTACCAGGTGGCACAAGCCCCCCACAGGGTAGTCACCCATGCTAGCAGGAATGGGTTAGCACATACAATTCAAAGGGGGAAAGTTCCAACTTTCTACCTGAAAGTTGTTCATTTCCTGGTCACGTTTTACCTGCTATACGACTATCTATGTATTTTTCATCTCTGTTAGTACTCAGTTCTCAGAGTGGACTGCACCAGCTTTATCCAGCCACAGAGTAAACTCATGGATAAAAATACATCCTTCAAAGAATGTTAAGAACTTGTAATAACCGGCAGTGTACTAACTTGTTTTGGGTGTGAGGTAAACGCTCAGAGCAGTAATAGCATCATTGGAAGGATCATGATAGAGTTCTGTAACAAGAAGATCATTATCCTTCATGCGCAAAGGGAATTTCTGCATATCTAAAAAATAAAAATGTTTAAACAGGATTAAAATAATAATACGTTAATTTTAAACTAAAAAAAGCTCATTTCTTTTCATTTTTAAAACCATTTAAACAAGTGCCTTTTAAGCACGTGTACACTTACCTATGTAATATATTGATCCGTTGTTACATCCCAGGAGGAGAAAGGACCCCGCGGTGTCGTAACTAGTTATGGGGACAACATCCTGAACCTGATGCAGTGAGATGATTAGACGTTAGGAAGGAATTACAAGCTCTGGTTTCTGTCACCTCCCAACTCTGACTCTTCTGATAAAAGAGCCCCACACCCAGCTTTGGCATGGCACTGAAAATGAGCTTTATTTAAGCACACGTGGGTGCACGGGCACAGATGCCAGCATCTCTAACAGTGGCCAACACAGTTTCCCCTTACAGAGCTGTAAGACACTTTTCTCACAGCACCACTTTGCTCCTGATGAGCGAGTTTCTCCTCCTGCACGCGATCACCAGCTTACAGCCCACTGGACCTGGAAGTCCAAGTGAGAATGCACTTTCCTCCCTTTCTTTTCTCCAGGAAGATTAAATACCACTTGCCCAAAGTGACACAGAACCAGTAAACAGAGAAAGCGATCCAGACAGTAGTTAACCCCTGGGCAATTAATTGCAGTAGCTTTGAAAAGGCAGTGCTGTTTCCTATTTTCATTCTCCTTATTACAACTTTGATCTGCTTTCTAGGATGCATGTCTGTTTTTCCAAGTCCCAGAATTAAGTTCTTTCAAATAAACCTAGTTTACAAACTTAAAAATCCCAGTTTATGTGCTAAGAGAAAAAGAAAAGGACTTGAGGTTTACTACCAAACAAAACACAACATACGCCAGCAATAAGATTCTAGACTCTTCTAAAAAGTGTTTTAGAAATGAACCCTGTCTTTACAACCAAGCTAGAGACACACGAAACATCACTGATGATATTTACATGAAATGAAGCTAAGTTTTAGATACAAAAGTCAAAGAGACTTCCAATAATTTAAAATTCAAAATTATTATGGAGTTTTTGTCATTTTTGGTTTTCTATGAAAGGGTAAACTCTAAACATGATCTGTTTAGCCTGTGTCTCTATTTTCTATGAAAGGGTAAACTCTTAGTATGAGCGGTTTAGCATATGCCTCTACGCGACAGATATGAGCCAAGAGGACAACACGGAAGAGCAGGAAGGGGTGTGGGATCCTTCAAGAGCTCGTGAACTTGCGAGGAGAAAGAAAAGTAAGACAATTGCCGTCAGGTGTGCTAGAACAGGATGTGCAGTACAATCAGAGGAGAGAGTGGTCCTCTCAAAACTGGTGAAAGAGCAAAGGGCAAGCAAGGTTCTAAGAGCAGGAGGGGACTCAAAGTGCAAGTGAACCGTCAGGGTTTCAACCAAGGAAGAGCCTCAAACTGCTCGGACCTGTGGTGGGAGAGGGGTGATGGCAGCACCCTGGCTGTAGAAGGCAGAAGGCTGAATCTCCCTCCCTGGGTCCTCCCTTTTCCCTCTCTGCTTCCTGGGCCTGGTGGTGAGCTAGAGGCTTTTCAGACCTAAGCCCTCCTGCAACCGGTTTTGCCCCAAAGGCAGCGACTTCGGAACAACACAAACCTGGCTTCCTGTGAGCTGTGGGGGTTGGGTCTCAATAAGGAAAGTGACTAACACATCAACCAAACAGAGAAGGGAGAAAGTAAATGTCTGACCAAAAAAGGATTAAAGCCAAAGAAAGCACTACAGTGTGGAAATACTGACTCCTGTGTCTCAGGCAGCAGCTTCCCAGAAAGCTGCAGTCCCTAACCATGCTGCAGACATTCCCACACCACCTTGTCACCTCACCCTAAGCCACGGCGATGCCAGGACGCTGCTGCAGGTGAACACCGCACTTTCCAGCGGCCAGCAACTCCACAGAATGGAAGGGAGATGGCTTCACACACCACAGACCGCGCTCCTCCCCGCCGCACGGCTGCAACCGCTTGGCCACAGCTACAGCACTAAGAGAGGCCGCCCAGCAGGCAGAGCGTCCCCATCCTCGGACTCTGGATGCAGCAGTCACTGAAAGGCCTGCAGCAGCTGCAGCTCCCCAGACTCATCCAGGAAAAGCCTGGCAGCGACTACTCTCTGGTGGACGAGCGCTGAGCAGCAGAGCTTTCTGCTTCTTCCCTGCAGCCCTCCGCCGTGTCCGCCTTCCTTCTGTCTGTCCCTAGGCGCAGGCAGAAGAGCAGAGAGAGGCACACAGGAGCAGAGAAGACCTGACGGAGTTCCTGGCTCTGCCGGCACGGCCTCTTCCATGCTGGGCTAGGGATGTGGCCCTCCTGGGCTTCCTTTAAGACAAGCTCTCACCAAGGGGTCCAAGCTGGCTCAAATTCACACTCCTCCTCTCAGCCTCCCAGACGTCCCGCTTCCAGGTCTTCCAGCTATACTTTTGTGCAATTCACTGAGTTTGCTTTGGTCTGAATTTTCATTTCCAATGGCCTTTTAATTTCTAGCACACTATTTTCCTGTTTTCAAATTAGTTTTAGTCTATCCTCGCACTCTCTTTCTCATTAATAATTTTGGAAATTTATAGTACCTTTCCATTATTTGTTATCCAGTTTTAAAGACATAAATATTTGTATTTTTTACACTTGATAACTCTCCTTATTTGCTTTTACATCTGAGAAAATCTGGGGACAGTCAGGTCGTTTTCAGTCCAAATGACTCCTCATGGATGTCCAATGAGCCACTCCGCAAAGCGCCTGGTTTGGTTTCATCGTGCATCCAGCAACACCAACAGTCATGATGAGCCCGGCAGACTGGAGCTCCACACCAGAGGTCACCTCCGTGCTTCTGTGCACGTATTCAGTGCTCCCGATTTCTCACAGAAGGTTTCAACCTGCACCACCACATTCCTAGATCACAAACTGTTCTTTTTAGAAATAGCAGCTTTATTCTTACGACTTGATGCATTAACTGCTTCCTTTTTTCTGAACATGTAACACCTGGAACACCGATAAGTTTTAAAGTTCCTAACATATACATGATTCCTGCTTTGTTAGTACACGTGAGCAGTGTATCAGGATGGCAATTACCTTGGGGAGTTGGTGCATATACAAACACATCTTACCTCTCTTTTTTCTTTATCTCTACCTTTCTTCCTCTCTCTCCATGCTCCTTCCTACTCTTGGCCCCCTTCTCATTTGAGGAAGTTCTATTTTTGTCACCTCTTCCCTGCATTTTTTTCTATCCCTTCTTTTCTTGTTCCCCCATCTATCTGAAGATCTCTTTATTTCCTATTTATCTCATCTCTACTTGGCGTGCTCTCTCTCATGTATGCTTATCTATTTACTTGAGTTTCTCATATAAAACAAACCATGCAAATACTTCAGCTCCTGTGTATGACTCAGTACTACAGAAAATCTCCCCCTCTTCTGCAGGCAGTCTCTTCACTATGGGTCGTTTCCTTTGCTGTACAAATCTTTTTGATTCGCTATGACGCCATTCGTTGGTTCGTGCATTACTTTTTATGCCACCGAGATTCTGTGCTTCCCTATGTCTACATCTTCTAGTTTTACCTATTTTATCTCCTGGCAGGCTAAGTGCTTGTGTTTTAACATGTAGAACTTTGGCCCACTTTGCCTTTAATTTAGTACATGTGAGAGACGGGTCTAGACTCAGTCCTCGGTGCATGGATACCCCATTTTCCCAGCGCCATTTATTATTAAAGGGGCTATCTTTCCTCCAGAACAGGTTTCTGGACCCTGAGTAAAGGTCAAATAGTTGCATGTGCCTGAGGCTGTTTCTCCTTCCTCTATCCCACTCCAGGGATCCACATGCCTATTTTGTCATACTTGCTATCTCCAAGATTATCTGAAAAAAATTCCTGTCTCCTTCTCAGGGACTGAAGCAGATCTTTAAAGCTTCAATTTTAGCAAAAGGCTCGATTTCCACTTTCCATGAAGCCACACTTCCTGGTTTCAGCTAAAGTCCCAGGCAGGACCTAGAGGCTTTATCTTGATAAATGACACATTAGTACAAACAATAAGTTAAAATCATTTAGTACAGCTATGTACTCTAAAGTACCCAGTACTTCTACATGCAAACAGGGAGAGACTGCCATCAGTCAGCATGACCAACCTCACTGTGAACTCCCAAGTACTACACTGAGAACAATGGTTAGTGAACTACAGAGGTGCCCAACCTGCAGACCACGGAGAGCCTCTCGGAACCCTGGGTCAGGTCCAAGTTTCCTCCTGAACTTGGCCTCCACTGGCAAGGCTGTCCCTGAGACAGTGGCTTTGGCTGCATTTCTCCAGGCCTCAGAACGAGCACTAGGAGAGCTCAGTGACTCTTCAGTAAGTGAAGCACACATGTGGCCTTCCGGCACTTCCAAAACCACGCCCTGTGAAATGGGCTCTTTACATGAGGGCTGCACATGGGCAATCTGACTCTAAGACAAACCTAAATTTATACTCAAAGCTACTAGTCTGCTACGCCATTTAGTGAATGTTACTATCTGACAACACAAAGGGATTTCTTTTTAAGACATTCAAGTGTGCCTTGTATGTGAAAAGGAGTATAAAAAGGGAACAAAAACTAAACTATTTCTTTAAAATTTCTTTCACTTCCATTAGGTTTTTTGATTTAAAGTGTTATTAATATTTATTGAGGCTTTCTTGATGAGAAGTTATTATAAACAAGAGTTCATAAAGGCTTTGAACACTTATAAACACCCTCTCTGTGTAAATGTACACATATACAAACCCTCTCTTACTCAAATACTTCAATCCATCTTGATTATACATAAAGAACTGCAAGGGCTTCCAGTACTTTCTGTTGCTAAAAACTCAGTCAGGACCCATTTACCCAGCGCCACCCCAGCCCTGGGGCCGGGCTGCCGAGCCTGCAGACCGAAGCAGAGATCCCTTTATACAGCACCTCCTGTGAGGCACCACAGTGAAATCCAGTGGCTGGTATTGCGCTGGTTTGCTGCACTAATGCTCAACTTCCTGGAAGGTCACCAAATCTACTTTGTCAGACACGGTTTTGAAGTCATTCATACACCAAGCAAGAAATAAGGAAGTATATATTAAAACTTAAGACAAAATACCTACTTTGAAGACACGACATTAAAACTTCCATACATACTTTTGAAAACACAACAGGTAACAAAAAGCATGTTCACTCAGTAACCAAAACCGTATTAGCATTTTTATGGTAGACACTGTATTTTCAGACTTGACATAACTAGCAAAGTACACCCATAAAAGCAAAACTTCCATAAATCGATAGAACTCACATTTCGCTTTATAGAAATCTCACAGCTAATGAGTCCTTCTGATTGACTTCTAAATTTTAGATTCAGCTCAACAGATAGTCCCTTCCCATGTCTCCTGGCCAACAGTTTTATGACAACCATTATAAAGCTTTCCGTTATGCCTGAATGGAAGGCCCATTCTAGCTAATATTTTTTCCCACAAATGTGACTTCTATATCTTCACAGGAAAGGAAACCGAGTTTTTCCAGAGCGAAATTTCTCTAATATGAAAACCCCATCTTCCTGGTATCTCAGAGTCCTAAGAAGAAGAAAGCTCCTCCACAATCCAATCTCCTCGCACCATGGCCCAGCCCTGCCTGGCTGCTGCCTGCTGACCAACCCACCACCGTGGCGGAGCAGCTCAGCACCTGGGCAATGCCCTTCCGTCCAGCTCTACTACACACTGGACAGCCTAGCCTGCAAAGCTACACAATAAATGTCCCCTCCAGTTCCCTTACCCCACTGCAGGTACTGTCATTCATTAGTATCCATAACAGACTGGCATCAAGGCCCTCAGGATACCAAAACCCTCAGATCTCAAGTACAAAATAGGATGGTATTTATGTATAATCTATACATTCTCTCAGATACTGCAAATCATCTCTGAATTATAGTACCCAAGCGCTTCGTAAACAGTAAAACTATCGCTTGTGGAAAAAGCCTGTATGAGGCAATCAGAAGACAAAGAGAATGGTTAAATTCTAAAACATGTATGACCACACGGTAGGACGCTGCCAGGAACCCTCAGAGCACCACCACCTCACAGGCGCACACGCACCCCATCTCCCTGCCCCTTTCCCACACAGCTCTCAAGGTTTCATGCACTGTATTTTTGGCTGTCTCGATGTCCTAAACTAATTCAAAACCCTTACCTTTCATGGTTTCTGACTGGACAGAAGAGCCCGAAGTTACAGCGTATGAGACTCACAATGATTTTATGAGCCTGTCATTCACCACATTTTTGAGATTCACAGAGGACTTTCACAACTGCTTACACAGGTGCCAAGAACAATGGGACAGGTATGTTCAAAATGGGAAGTACTGGGAGGGGAATAATGGCTAGAATTTTAGTTTTTCTTTTTAAGTGTAAACATTCACCGTGTAGTACATTTTAATTACTTGTTTTCTGGTACCAGGAATACAACTCAGGCCTCTGCACCTGCCAGGCAGGTTGCAGTGCTGCTGAACTATATTCCCAGCCTGTTCAGTACATTTTAATCACATCCCATATATGTTGAGAACAGGTGTGATTTTTCTTCTGTAAATACTTTCAATTCATGGGTGATTAAATCCATGCATGCAAAAGCCATGGACATGAGGGCTGACCACACTTCCATCTTCCAGGCAGTCAGCAGGCTTAAACTGGCAATGAACTGCTCCAACTCTCCATCCTCCAAGCTCTCTGACACACCCCCTTCCTTCCAACGGTTCCCACTCCTTGCAGCCATCGGTCTGCTGGCTCCTCTCCTTTCCCTTGGAATCTCTGCATCCTTTTGCCTACCTGGCCCTTTGGGCTACCCCTTCTCATCTCACAATTTCAAGGACCTTGCCAAGTTTCTACTTTCTCATCCCCCTTGGTTTGCTGTAGTCATTTTATTAAAATTCTAAACCTGAATCGGGTCAATTTTGCTCTCTTTTCGTGTTTCTGTTTCTGAGAACTCTGTCACCGAGGGCTACTGCAAGTGGACAACTGACTTACAATCTCCACAACCCCTGACAACACACCCCAACCTGCCTCCTTCACGCCCCTCCCACTTGTCACAGAGGAGGAAGAGGCTCCCGCCTTGCAGGCCACCACCTGACACTGGAGATCCCACACAGCTGCCTTCCGTGCAGCCAGAAACCATCTCCACTCTCACAGCTTCAGGGTGCTTTTGCACAGCACTGCTCTCTGCACGCCGGGCCGAGGGCACCAAATGCCCTGCATGGAGCCTTGGTCTTCCAGTGCTCATGCTGGATCTCGGCTCTCTAGAGACTTCTTGAAAGGTAACTGAATGTTCTGTCTCTAGGCCTTTAATTCTTCAGTTCCTGTGACTTAATGCATGTGTTGTCCCATGATGAAGTGCTAGGAAAGCCAGCACCACTTCACCATTCCGTGTGTGGTTTTTGTCTCTTGGTCTCCTATTGTGGCCCCTTACATACTAATAATCGCCGATAGTTATAATTTTGGCTTTTCTTTCTGTCTGTATACCCTCTTGATGGACGCTCTCAGCAATTCTTAGTTTTTAAGTTACTGCAGAAGTATGTGGTCTTAGAATACTTATTCCTAGCATTTTTTTCCCCCCTAAAACCAGAAATGCACTCTTGGCTGTACACTGAACGCCCGCACCTGGACGCCCACAGGAATCCCAAAGTAAATCTATTTAATCCATCTATTTATTCCTGTCTTACCTACTAGACTTTTTTCTCTTCCTGTGTTCTCCATCAATTTAAAATTCCACTAGCTCCTCAGCTGTCAAAACTAAAACTACAGCTCCAATTTCCCACATCCGTCAGATCCCAGGTCTACCAGTTCAGAAGGCTGTAAAGGTTTGTGGACAGATGCATTTCTGCCACCTCTGCAACCCCTGTCATCAGCGAGGCCCTGGCTTCTTTTCAAGAGTCCTGTAGTGGGCTCACGACCATGCACCACAGCCAGCACCACAGCCAGCGGGGTCACTGTTCTGTGACAGGGACTCCTACTGAGAGCCCTTGATTTGTCTTTTTTCTTCAGAATCAAGTATTAACTGTATTAACCACTTTTAAATTTAGCTCCTTTCTCTTCTCAAATTCTGAGAGCTAATATTTAGTTTACCATCTTCCCTGTACAGGCACTATATTTTATAGCTCTGTTTCCACTCAATGAATGACATCTGCCTGGGGGATCCCCATGCTACCACACAGAAATTAAACTCCTTCAAGAAAATAAAGAAAAGCTGAACCACAGCCTAAAATTTTACTCACTTTTCCAACGTAACCAATTTCCTTAAAAGGTAAAATTTGTGTCTAGAAATAAACCTACTACTAAATTTATTCAATATTCTGTGTAATCAAAAAAAGAAATGGCATGTGAGTTCCACAAAGAAAAAGCAGACACGTAATTGCATAAGTTTCAGAAATGGTTTTATGCGTTTCATACGACTGGGGTAAAACTAACCTGCCAGTGCTGCGTGACTGCATTCCACACTCCCACTTTCCCCGTGTGACTGGTGGCCACCAACTGGTTCCCAATAAAGAAGAGTGCGTCTACTGGGACACCAAGGCTGAAGACTCCTTAAACAAGAGAAGAAGGACATCTGTCAAGGACATCAGTCAGTCGCCTCTTTACAATCCTTCAAAGCCTGAATTAAACACCCAGCGTGACTAACTTAGACCTATCCTCACTTCTACAATCAAGTGCCAGACTTGGTGAGAACCAGAATACAAAGCTGGCAGGCTTGTGCGCAGCTAATGAAATTCCTAAGCAAACCGATTCTGCCCCAAGGACCTCCCCTGAAATGACACCTCTGATCTGAAGCTGTGGCTCTCATCCCAGTTGACCATGAAAATAACTTAGCAGGTTTAAAATGAACAAAATGAAATAAAAAGGATCCCGGGATCCACTCCAGATCCAACAAGTCAGAAAGCCCGCTGCACCTTAATGAAACCTATAGGAATGGAAATGGTGCTTGCTGGTGAACCTGTATTTGGAAACCAATCATCTGAAGACACAATCATCTGGGCAAGCTCGACTATCCAGTATGTACAGATAAATCCAGAAGTGAGCAAAAACAAACAAAACAAGCCCAGCAAGTCACAGAGTAAACTCAAATAGTCAGGTCTTTCATTTGAAGTTTATCTTAAATCTCTTGTTTTCTAGCATTGCAGTTTCAGTTTATTTAAATACACTATATTAGGCTTTGGAATTTGCGACTAGGACTTGCAGCTTAGTAGAGAAAAGAATTGCAAACAATCAATTGCAATATAATGGGAAAAGATGGCAGGGACACACAGGGGACAGTGGTATGCAGAGCAGTGGACGGGCACAGCTAAAAGGTTTGCCACCGTCTTCCTTAGAAGACAAGCCATCTGAGTCGGGCATTTAAAAGGTGAGCAGGAGCTCCAACAGGGCAGGTGGAGCTGACTCAGGACACCGTAAGGAGCACACAGCTCACGGTGACATCAGAACAGGGACACCCGAGAACCCCACGCTCTGCCTGGACAGCGTCCGTGCCCCAGCAGGGGTCTGTCCTGCAGCCGCCAGGCAGCCTGCTCTGCTTGCCACTGCTTCTGTTCTTATTCCTTACCTACGAAACAAGGTTCAAGCTAAAAGTCTCAAGAAGTATTTTCATATTAAACATGCTATAACCAGATTCTGTGCTTACACAGAATACTATCTTCATTATTTGAAAACCACTTTTTAAGGAGAGTATCTTTTTATCTCATAATGCTGGAAAGTAAATCTCACCTATAAAACCCTGTTTTATACAGATCTTTGGGTTGTTTCAAGTATCACTTTATTTCAAATAATGTCAGTGGGTCAATATGAATAATTTTCTCAGCATTTAGCTGAGGAAAACCAAAAAAGTACATGAGATCTTAAGAACTCATGGGGGAAACGGGCAAATAATCACATTCATCTGCAGTGTACCTTAAGAGCACAAGCTAGAAAAGTTTCTAATTTCTTTGGAATTTTGTACCAGTGCTAAGAATTCTCTTCTGCTTAGGTCTATACTGCATCTAGTGGCAGTCCACAACATCTTAAAAGTTTTTTACCAATCTTGAAAAGAAACAGGCATGTAGCAGGAACAAAATGACATACTGGAAAGAAGAAAAGAAAAAAGAAGAAGAAAGAAAAAAACAGGTAAGGATTGCTAGGAATATGTGTGATACTAACTATACATATAAATCATGTTAATAGAAACATACACATGCATGGACCCCATCAGCCTTACCTGGCAACTAAAAACTAAAAAGAGCAATGTAAACCACAACACACAAAAGCAGCTGAGCCCTTTCCCCAGCACAGGTTATAAAATAACCCTCCCACTTCAAAACAGAAAACAAATATCTTGCACTGTACACAATTCTAGGGAGTGTCACATAATGGCAATTTAACTTTGAGGTCGAACAATTTTTCAGTGCATGTGAAGCCAACTATGTTCAGTCCCAAGGCCCATATGAAGGGCAGAAATAAAAACAGGAAAACCAACTAACAATGATTACTCTAGAGAAAGATGAAGTTCTGGGAAATCAAGGAAGACATTCACAGAGGTCTCACAAAATTTAAAGTGTCACTCTGGCTTGGGCTCAACATTCCTGCCTACCGCACAGGGAAGACAAAAGTGAATAAATCACAGCAGATTCCTGTCTGAAGGGCCCTCTGGCTAGAACACCGCTCAGCAGTGCTTTCTGCAGCCTCCGGGAGAGCTCCATCACGGATCCACCAGCACTAACCATTTTCTTTGGACAGTGTTGTCATTTTCCCAAGAACATCTGTAACAACAAATGTGTCCTTTGGAGGACATGAACTAATTTCTACTGTGTGGTCTCATAACACAGCTGTCCATTGTGTCAGACTTTGAAAACCAAGCAGAAATAGAATTTCTCTCAGTCTCTGGTGTGTTACAAACACCAACCCGATAAGGTATTTTTTAATCACAACTGGTTTCTTTTCTGCGTAATTGCTCATGTATTTTAATTTTAAAAATTTTAATACTAAAACTTGTTTTCTGAAGTTTTCACAAAGGTCTCAGGTGCCAGCTATGATGGGGTAAACAGCACTCAGCACCCTGGAAAACAGTGACAGAAGAAAACTGGCCAACACACTCCAGGCCATTACTGCAGGCAGGCAACAGGCAGGGGGGCTCTGGAGTGAGAGGGAGAAGGTCTCCACTCGGTAAGCCTTGCCCTGGCTTCCAGCAGGGCACTTTCATCCCAGCAGGGGAGACCCAGTCAACAGTGCCGGTTTCCTTGTACTGAGGAAGCAGAGAATTTGAGGTCAGAATGTGGGGGGTCTGGTGCCACAAAGAAAGAAACTGCTCTAGAGCACGGATGGAATAAAAGGTGCGCAGGGGTTTCCCTAAGGCCCTGGAAGAGGCTGAGCTCTACCTGGTCAGGGTGAAAACCCCTAAGAATTAAGACAAAGAGCCTGTTTCAGGGGGAGACTCCAGAGGCCCCCATATGCAGATTAGGCAACACCAGCTCACTATAAGAAGAGGCCATTGGTGAACATCTCAGGCATTCAGCTCACACCTGGGAAGCAGACAGGCCCTAAAATGAACAGTGAGGCTAACTTGCCCCGTAACAAAACACTGCACAAAGCTCAGTGAGATCCAGAGGATCCTCCCATAATGTAACTGTCAGACAAAAACTGCCATCTTTAAAGGAACAGCATATTTCATTCCACCCTACCACACAAGTCTAACAAGTAATCACAACTTTTTAAAAATGTGAAGAAAATGTGATCCGAAACAAAAATGTGAGATGATCCAGATACTGGAATTAGCAAACAAAAATTTCAAGCAAACTACTACTATGATTTAATAAAAAAGTTATGATGAGACAAACCTCACCAGATAAACATGAACTATTAAAATGGAATCAAAAGGTAATTGTATGCTAAAAATAAAACTTTATTAAATGAAATTAACAGCAGATTACAGTAGAAAAAGAATAAAAATTATTAAAGACATAAACAAAATCTGTCTGAAAGAAGAAAATGGGAGAAATACGGAAGGAGCAGTATGCAAGTGAAAAAAGGACCTCAGTAAGAACACAGTTGGCCTTCGAGCCCGGTGGGAAAGGCTGGGAAGCACAGCCGCCAGTATGTGGGGGTCTGGAAAACAACACCCTCACCCTGCAGCCAGGCTTCAGTGCACCAAGCTGGCATTCAGACGCTCCCCTCTGCTCTCAACCGCCAGAGCCCCTGTCCAGGTCATTCCCTTCGCACTGAGCATTCTTTTCACTGCTGAACCTCGGGAGGACAGCAGCAGCTCAAGTCAAACCTGGTTCACAATGTTTGTAAAACGCTGTGCACACCAGCAGGCTCCTACCGATCTCACTGCCACTGCCTCCATCCTGAATGCTCCACAGGATGATGCTACTCTCCGAGGCAACGGCCACCATTTTGTCTTTGTCTCCATGAGGGCCCCCAACCACTTTGGCGTTCAAGGCCACGCGTTCAATGGTCCAATCTAAGTATGGGCTCGTAAACACTTGCTGCCATCCTGAAGATTCTTTGATTCTGTTAGGAAAGGAACGGGAGGCAGACTCAGCAACTGGGCTGCACGTCAGCACACAAAATACAAACATTAACTGCAACAACCAACCCTTTGTATTTACTAAATGTAGAATTTTCTTGATACATTATCAAAGCCAGAATATTACCACAAATATACTTACATATCTAGGACATATAATCACTTAGAAACAAAAGTTCTTTATTTCTTCAAAGAGTAATTTAAGAAAATCCTCCAAGTCACTTTAAAAATTAGAAAAAGTGATTATATTGTTCACAGTCTCTAAAAAAAATCATTGACATCATGGGTAATCAACAAAAGTCAGAATTTTAGAATTTTTTCTTCCAATTTTTAACCAGTAATTTTGGTTATTACTGCTAAACAGAATGACATGCATAGAAATCTACTGATTTTTGTAGATCATTTTAGATGATTACTTATTGAGGCAAACTAAGAAAGTACCACATGGATCCCAATACTTCAAAATAATTAAAGAAAAATGGCTTTGAAAACATTTTTCTGCAGATGGGTTTTTAATGAGCTAACTGATGCTTTCAAACTCAGTGAAAGGATGATTTACATTATAAATGATCACAACACAGTCAACTATCTACTTTGGAGAAAATAAATTCTTACGCCCCACACCACCTACAAACAAGAAGATTCCTCAGAGATTGATGGTCCAATCTAAAATATAAGCTGCTAGAGGGTCTCACACAGCTGCTCTGTCAATCCGTGACATTATCACAGACTCAGCAAGAATAGGGGACACTGACACAAGGCCTAAGGATATAAATAATCGGTGCATCTGCAGGAAGAGCACTCAAGCAGCATTCATTTTACCACTCTCGTTTTAAAGTTTTTACTTATTAATATAAAAACTTCACAAAAAACAATTTAAGATTATTCTCTGAAAACACTTGCACTGTGCGATCTCCTCCCTTTAAAACCGTTTTACTGCTGCCACACTGGGTGATTGAGCTCCATGTGGGGAAACCTGGCACGTTGGCACCTGCAGGGCTGCCCCACCCCACCTCCCCCACCAGGTGGACTGCCACTGCCGGCACCTGCAGTCCCAGCCCCTCCCCGGTCACGAGGCTCTGGCATCTGCGCTGTGGCATCACCCATAGCCAGAGAGAACCTGGAGATTGCGGCGCTCCACGGCCAGAGAACGAAATGCGACATCACTCTCCTTACATTCGCCACCCAACACTTGCATGCAATGTTACGTGTCTCTGGCAAGTAGCAGTCATCCAAAACCACGTCTGTACCATTCAAAACCTGAAAACACTGACAAAGCACCTCACAGGGAAAGGCTGTTCCTACCCACCACGTGAAGGAGGAGTCTAGGATAACTGGCAGAAAGGGCCTCAATAGGTGACAGCCTTTCACAAAGTAGAACCTTTGGAACATTACCAATTCTTTAAAATGGTATCTGTCTGTAGACTGGGAAACACATTTGTGATCATCTCACCTACTGCAGCTTTCTTCCTTACATCAGCAGTGGTAACATTCATACACACTTCACCTTTCCAGCAATTTAAACGGTGACATCACGTTTCTAGCTGGTACACTCCAGTCCCTCTGTGAGTCTCACCATTCTCTACCACCTGCACTTCTCACTGTATACTGTGATTTAATGAAGGGTTTTTCCCTTTCCCCACTTCAAAAAATGCTCACTGATCTACAATATTCTCATTTTTCTTTTGGTCTCAGTAAAACCAAATGTGCAAGTCTCACGTACGACAGATGCTATACTAGTTTCCACCTACAACTGTCCTGCTTCACTGTTTCACTCCCAAGAATGTGGCAGTGATCACCAACAGTCCTTATTCTGCCATGCTTTAAAGTACAAACAACTGAGTCATTCAAGATAAAAAATTACAGTGCTTACATAAATAATCCTAACATCATTTAACTTAGCAGTTAAATGACTCAGATTCAACAGGAGCAAGGAATTATACTACGAGGTCCTCCCTGGGCGTGGTGGTATAAGCCCAGCCACTCAGGGGTAAAGGCAGGAGGACTGCAGTTTCAAGACCAGCCCAACCAACTCACAGATACCTTGCCTCCGTGTAAAATTTTTAAGCAGAGCTAAAGATGTAGCTCAGTGACAGAGCACTCGGCCATCAGGAGCGAGGCCCTGGGTTCAATCCCCAGCAACTACAACACCAATAGTCAGTTCTGTTATAGTTCATGCTATCTGGAAAATATTTCAACTATGTCAAGACTACTGGCAATGTTTACCAAACCAAGTGCCAGAGTAAAAGCAAACTAAGTCTTAGCCATATAACACAGAAGTAGGTGAAACATGCAGGAGAAAAATTCAGTGACTACAAGATTGGGGCTCTTCACAAAAAGCATAAAATCACAATTAATGACTGTCCTCTAAAATAAAAAAAACTATTACCACAGTACCTGTAGCACACAGCAAAGTGGGCGTATGCAGCCACGATCCAGTTGTGATGGCCGGCTACTATTAGCACCTTCCTCGGATCCACAGGAAACCCTGCTGATTCCAAAAACAGAAGTGTTCTCCATTCTAGAATGGCTGGCAAACTACGGCCCATAAGCCAGTAGTCTCCTGCCTGCATTGATGGAAGTTTGGCTCAGACAGGAAAACACTCACTTGTTGACATGCTGCCACCCAGTTTCCCACTGTCTGTATGGCCCACAAAGCATAAAATTCAGATGAGTCAGACCTTGTTCTAACAACTCACAGCAAACAGAAAGGCATATAGTATTTTAAATAAAAAAATGTTTAACGAGACTTTTCAAGATATAAAAAGTTTGGAATAAGAAAGAGACTAGGCACAAATTACATATTTAAAAGTGATTACTCAGTAGCACCAAGAAGTCAAGTCACCTGCAGTTCTCTTTTTCTACTTCGGTGCCCTCTGCTTACCCCGCCTACCAGCCTCTTCCCCAGCAGCGGCCAGGACGGGCTGCGCACCACCACCCCGGGCTTCGCCCTCTATGGAGTTCAGACCGTTCCTGGAGTCAGCAGAAGACCTAGCAGTGTTGTTTATTTTACGAGGAGGGATACCTACAAAGAGCAGAAGACAACAAATTCATTTCAAAGGTAACCTCCCAGAAATGAACATACCACATTCTAACTAAGAAACAAAAAACAGGACTGCAGTATATCTCAGGAAGATCTTCCTATGCAACAATTTACTGCCAATAGCCTTAATTATATTAAAAACCTACAAAGTCAAAATAAAAATAAAATTAAGAGATTTCTGGGGTCAACCATACTATGTATAACACACCAGTTTATCACCTTATGCTCAGATTCACCTAGCTGCAGGTCACCGACCCTTGCGTTTCACCCAAGTTTGTGCACAGTGTTACGCGCGAAGCCGGGTCATCACAAGCACTAATCCAGCTGCGCAGAACCAGCTTCTGCACAGCAGCCTCTTTCTAAGGTGCGATCTTACTCAGCGGCTGCTCAGACAGAAGTGTTCTCACTGAAGCGGGATGAGGAGACACTATCTACCTCTGCACAGGTTGTGGTGACAGGGAAAGAACTCTGACAGCAGTGCCTTGAGGGAAACAGAGACTCGCAGCAAAGCTGCAGGACCCAGGGGCAGGCTGCTTTTCAGGAGCTGGCACAGGGCGCCACCAGCTCTCCAGGCCTCCGGGCCCTTGAGAGAAAGGTCCATCAAACCCCTGCCCTCTAACATGCAGGACGATGTAACCTTTTCACAAAAATGAAGCTCTTATTTCTAGATTTATAGAATAGAAATGCAAGAGTCAAGAAAGAGTTTTTCCCATTTATAATTGCTTAAAGATGCAAAATAATTTGCTAAAAGAGTGAGCACAGTGAAAGCCACAGTACCTGGCGGGGGCAGATAACCGTGGAAGAGCACACTGCCACAGGACGAGCGCTCCAGCTCTTCGCACAGCAGCAGCCGTCTCACTAGGAACATGGCAAAGCAAGCTTGTCAACTCAGACAGAAAAACAGGGCTCTGTTTTTATTTTCTCTAGTTAAAGAGGGTAAGGAAAGAAAAGCAAGACATTTAAGTTAAATAAGAACTAATGTCTTTTTGCCATGAAAATCCCCAAAAACTAAGCACTGAACTTCCTATGAGAACTCTGGGCCTGATGTAAAACACATTTCTTCTGGGGAAGTTCAGTATCCAGAGCAGAACCGTGAGCGCGAAACCGTGAGAGAAGAACACATACCCAGTGGCGTGATCCCATAAAACTCTGCTTCATGCCTGAGAACGTTAATGCTTACTCCCCTACAAAGGAACAGAGGAAGGTGTGAGTCTCCTAACACTGGTCGCTTAGGTCACCATCTGAAGCCAGCAGGAAAAGGACTAGGTTCTGCTCTGAACCAGTCATGAGGCTTTGTAAACTTTCCTCCAATATTTCTAATACTCTTAATCATTTGAAAACCTGAATTAAAAACTGCATGCAAACAATAATAACTTTAATGCCCACTGAAAAATATATATATTCATATATAGGTGCATTGATTAAATGAAAGATTAAGGCAGAGGGTTAATACAAACAAATTATGAAGAAGTTCTGACAAACAACAGGACGGAATTCTTCTATGGAATTATGTTCTGCTTTTTATAATTATTTTGATACAAATATAATCTCCCCCACCATTTTATAAGCTCCCTATAAACTCAACCTATTTTTCATCTAATTTTGCACACTGTGCCTCGCACAATGCTTATAAAAGTCATACAATGAATTATTTTTTGAATGAATCAAAGAAAATTAAAAAATGGGAAGAAAGACTTGTTTTAGCAAGCTACATACACCAGTTTGCTCTTAGAACACTCCTCGGCTTTAAGAAACACACCCAACTGTGGTATTAAATTGTTCTACATTGTTTTTAGACTTTCTGCCGCCACAAGCGCCTGTGTTAGCAGTAGAGCAGTGTGGCTAATTACGAGGGGCTCCAGGACACAGAATGACAGTTCCTGTGGAACTCCGCTACCAACTGCGGTTATCATGACACAGTGTGACACGGTATGTAATTAACAGAGTTAGAACACAGGTATATGGGCTTTTCTTTTTCTAAATGCCTTCTCATCCTTCTATATAAAGTACCACAAAATTTAAACTTGCTAAGCTTCCTTAAAACAGGAAGTCATTACAGGGAGTCATTACATTAAGAAAAGTAGCCAGTAATTATACACAATTACCTCAGTTCTGCTTCATGGTTAATGTAACTGTGGCTGAGTCACAAGGTCACCGACCAGTTGTACACTTGGACTTATCAAATGAGATGGGTAAAAATAATCTTTCTCAAGAATTAACAATCTACTTCCCACCTCCAACCAATCTTGGACCAAAACCAGAAAGCCCAACCTCTCTTATTCTTTTAATAAGTAGCTATTTAGTGTATGTTACACATACTGTTTTAAGCACGATAATACAACAAAGAACACAGCAGAAAACTAAATCTTAGTCCTCAAGGGGATCCCTCTACTGAACATATAAGCCAAAAATCAGAATTACAGAGAAGCACCTAAAATAAACAAATTTTTAAAAGTTGAAACTAAAAATATATTAAAGGATCTTTAATGGAAGCTTGTCAAAAGTATATGAAATAAAAAATACAATACAAATCATAGCTCCTACAGAAGAACACAAACTGTAAGTAAATATGGCAAAGTGAAATAGTTCAGTTATTCCTTTATACACACACGCACACACACTCACACTTCCAAAACGCAGTAAGCGCAGTGCTACGTGGTGAGAATGAACAGTGCCCTCTTCAATCTAAAAGTCTCCCGGAAGGTAGAAAACTAGAAAAGGAGTAGCTCCGGTAAGTGCCGTGGTAGGCAAGGCGGGGACGCAGTGACACCTGCATGCACAGACGCAGTGAAGAACACTGGAGCGGTCAGCTGAGCCAGAACCACGAGCAGGGCCACAGCCCAACCCTAAGCTGCTGGTCCCATTCACTGTATCTAAGAAGGTGCTGTGCAACCTGGTGAGGCCACGGGTTTAGAAGACAACCTTGGCTGCAATGAGAAAACGCAGGGAAGGGAAGGAGGGCATTTGCTACAAAGCTGCTGGAATGCTCCAAAGGATGGGACAATGGGCATCCACGAGACTGAGCCTGAGGAAACTTAAAACACAACAAACATTGCACGTCTCACTCATGTGTGGCCACTGACAAAGCTGCTCTCACAGAATCTGAACAGAGCGGGGTAGCACAAGAAGTGGGGAGAGGGAGGAGATGGAGGGGAGCACGGGTAGGAAACCTGCACAGCTGCGGCACCTGGGCACAGCAGGACAACTGCAGCCTCCACGTGATGTCACACACGGACAGGCCCCTGACCAGAAGGGTCTGCAGGTTCCATCCTGCAGCCGGAACACTGAGCACCTGAATTACCCACTGTGTGCTGTGGGTGCTGCACATTGCAGCCCTGCGTTCTGCACAAGAGGTAACAGGTAACAGACACTCTAAGGCAAGTTGTAAAAAGCAGTCGGGAAGGAAAAAGGCCTCCTTCTTCATAAAATACCCCTACACACACACAGCTGTGAACAAGAATTTGCATTAAAGAGAATGTGTTTCTTACCTTAAGTCTAGTTCTTTTGTCCGAAGAAAATTTAAAATGGGTGCAAATGCTGCCGGATCTCTATCAATAAATATCTGTAAATAAAGAATTTTTATTTTCAACTGAACTTCTCCCTTTAATATCCATATCACTAACAAGGAACAGAAACTAGAATATTTCCTTTGCTCATTCTTAATTTTAAGGTTTCTAAAGCTGGAGTACAGTTACAACAGCGTGCATTTAATGTACCAGCATCTTTCCCCCTGAAAAGTATTACTAATTGGATATTTTAACGAGCAGGGAAACTGTTATTTAAGAAGTCAGCTTTCTCATTTCTACTAATATTTATGGGAAAGTGATACTTAAGGAACATTCTTATCTGAAATATTCTAGAACTCAATACTTTGAAAACATTATGAATAAATAATACTTTTCTTGGCAAATCATTCATCACTGCTCCCTTATGACTTACACACTTTGCAAGTCATGAAAAGGCAGTTTTTTGTGGGGGTGGGCAGGCTGAGGGATGAATCCAGGGCTTTCACACTGAGCAGTATCTCCAGCCCTTTATTTTGCAAACATGGTCTTCTTAAGTCTAGTTGCCCAGGCTCAGCTTGAACTTCCAGTCCTCCTGCCTCAGCCTTGCAGAGTGCTGGAATAAAGGCCATGAGCCGCGTGCTTGGCGTGGCGATGGACTTCTACAACACATGCAGCAGGAATCAGAAACTGTGAACACTGTGTGTCACTATCAACACTGGGCAGGAAAATTATTCTCCTAATATTTCTATAGGTACAATCTTATCATCCGAATTTCCTCAAAAGCCAGGACAGGGTAATGATTAACATTTTCAAACGTTTTTTAAAAATAACAAATTCAGCACCACAGAATATATAAGGAGAAAATAAGATGCTTTAAAATGTGAAATACAAGCTGGGCCTGGTGGCTCACGCCTTTAATCCCAGCACTCGGGAGGCTGAGGCAGGGGGATCATTGTGAGTTCGAGACCAGCCTAGGCTACAAAGTAAGCATAAGGCCAGCCTGAATTGCACAGCAAGACCCTGCCTCAAAAGACCTTTTAAAGCCTAAGTAAGTCAATTACACAAGAGAATGGCTGTCAGCAACAAAACTTTTTTCCCTTCAGTGCTGGAGATCAAAGCCCAACATTCCTACTCACTAGGCACACTGACCCATTCCTCCTTGCCCTGGAAAATGTTTTTGACTATGGTCAGCTGAGCACCTGTATACAGTCAGTGAAAGTCTTGTTTCTTTTTGTAAAGGACCCACCACAAATTAAAGTCATAGAGCTGTAAAGCAATTACTGCTAATGATTTTCGAAATAATCTCACATGGGCCTGTCTTCTTTGCTACCTTATTTCATCTATAGATTCCACCATTGCAGGAATATATTTATCATTTTTTTATCTTCAAATGGAATATCTTTTGATCTCCCATTCTAAATAATATAAGTCATTTACATGCTGGCATGCACATTACAACTTTTTAAAAACCCATAAACTATCTTTTATTGGAACTTTAGCAGTCTTTACTTTTCCTTACTGTATTACAGTACAAGTTCATAAGGTTATTATCCTTAATAAAAATTTTAAAATGTAGGATCCAACGAATCTTAACATTCTAATGGCAAAATATTTTAATACTTACTATTGATTTACATGTACGCATTTACTGTTAAAATTTCAATTCCTGCCTAAAGAGCTGTCCTCTAGTACCACTGTAAGTTCACGTCCTAACCTCTACTCATGAAAACTTAAGGTGTTCTATGCATTACGTCCTATTCAGGGTTGTCTGTTTAGAAATATTGTACTCTACAGGTGAAAAGAAATAAAAGACTTCGCTACTCTCATTCAGTTATTACCAGATTCTCACTATCTTAGAGTCCCTACCCACTACGGACAGTGCTTCGTGAAACACTGAGGGCTCTAATTTAGAAATACATGCCAACATCACTTTACTTACAGCACCAGTTTCATCCCGCAGTGTTGAGATTCTTCCACTCAGCAAACTAGATGCAATTATTAACAAGCTAGAGTTAGTTTTTAAAATCTGAACATGAATAAATGACTTAATTTAATATCAAATGCCAAAGGCCAATAATATGAATCTTCTATTTACTACATAAAAGTTTCTATTTTAAGAATAATTTTTACTCAAAAAATAAAGATCTTAATTTAATTGACAAGGAAATTATTTTTACAAGCACTCAAAAGATAAGAGCAACATAATCATAAACAATTACCTGGAAAAAAAAGAATCTGGAATCCACATAAGAGTTTGTCTTGAGGTACTAAATCTGAAATTGAAAATTGTCTGATGTTTTAATGAGCATATAGTTTTAAATTTAAATATTAGCTTTCTTTAATGTGCAAGCTAGTGATTTGCAAGTTGTTGCTTAATTATAGGTGTTATCAATTAGATTACATTTACTATCTTTAAATGTTATGACTATTCAGAGGTAAGATTACTCAAGAGCTCTAGCAAAATCAAGCAATTAATTCTCTATTATATAATGCTTCCTGAAATGGCATACCAATCTGCTGTCCACTGGCCCTCCTGCCAAATCTCAACTCAGAGTAGCTGTACAAATTATCTCTGGTTCCCATTTCATCTCTCCTGATGCCGTTTTCTCCACCTTGTAAACCAGTGGCCCCCGTTTCCCCCAAACTATGCATACCTGCATAGTTGGTATCCTTCGCCCTCCTCACGTCCAGTAACCCAAGCCCTAGGCATCTTTCTTAATACCACTCAGTCTCCTGCTTGGTAATAGCTTTCTACATTACCTTTTTAGAGCTCAGGGTTAATTCCACCACAAATTATGCCTCTATTTCTATATTTATGTAACTCTTGGACTATTGTAGCTGCTGCATTCATTTGTTCAAAAATCACTCAGCAGGACTGCAACCTTGTGAGATTAATTCTCATTTGACCAAGTCTGCTATCACCATCAGTTCAAACAGATCTTTACCAAAGCAGAGTGTAACAGACAGGGACAACCAGTCCTAAATGCCTGTACAATAACAAGACAAACGAAGGAGCAGGTGCCGGGCTCATCCTCACAGGCCCCGTCTGGGCATCCTCCCGGAGGAGGGAGCTGCGCCACAAGGTTACCCACACAAGGCAGCCACTGACCTCCACTCACTCCACACCCCTCTGGCCAGCAGGACCTCCAAACCTATATGCATCTTCCACGTGATTTTTTGTTTTTTTGGTTTTTTTTTTTTTGGTCTTTTTCCTTTTTTATCAGTACCAGGGATTGAACTCACGACTGCCTGCTACAAGGCAGGCGCTTATGCCGCTGAGCTAAATCCTCAGCCCCCCATCTTCCACATACTAGACAAGGTGCTTGCAGAGCAGCTCTGGATGCCATGTGGTATCAGCAGGGTGCTCAGGAAGAGGTGAATACCGCTCCCTCCAAGTGTCTGCCAGGCACTCCACCAGCAGCCTGGAATTGCCCAGCAAATGGGAAGCGCTCACCGTGTGCTCCTCCAAGTCTGGCACCAAATTCTAAAATTCACTCCATCTCCCTTTCCCACATTCCAGGTAATGAGCAAACAGCAGTGACTACAGGCCAGGCTGGAAGTGGTCAGTGCAGCCTGAGAGCAACTCACCCACACGTCTGGGGTAAGCAAGAGTCCCAAACTGCTTCGCACAATGAATGTCCGATTCGGCAAATACCTATATACACACTGCCATACTTCCCTTCAAGAATGCATTATATATAAACATGTATGACTGGAAGGGAAGAGAAGCTTGTTCCCCATGATGCTTGGTGCCTACCGTACCCTCAATCCATTACTACCTGTACACACTAAGGTATGCTAACCAGAACCACACTCTGCACTCAGGTGAGTAAATGCCTTCTTGCCAAAACCCAGACAGCGACTCGGGAACTCCCAGGACACAGCGTTTCCAAAGCAAGGGCTGACAACAGACATTACCGACCTGCCCACTTCAGGGAATACCCAGCTCAGGGCCAGAAAGGACCCATTACAGCTTTAGCCTGTATCCAAAAGAAATTTTCTATTACTACCAAACATGCTTCCCAATCACCAAAGATTATCTCTGCTTCCACCCACAAATTTATGATACATAAGGAAAAGGATTTCTCACTGACTAAAGGCAAGACTGAAATACATTATTTATTAAAGACATCTGTATGTAAAGTTCTGTAACTTTACACACCTCCACCCCACAGCTGGGTCTCCAGTGGCAACACCTCCATCACAAAAGCACTTTCCTTTAAGACTTGGATAAATTAAAACAGGTAGTTTTAAGCAGTTCCTATACCAAATAATCGATTAAGGAGCCACACCACTTATGCAAGAAAACATGGCACGTTTTCCTAAATTTTTTTTAGTATACTCTCAAGAAAAAAATGAAAAGTGGATTACCATTAGTTACCTAAAACTGACTTAGTTGATAAAATTAAAGCAAATGGAGGACCGGGGATATAGTCAATACCATAAGCATATGCCTGGCAATGGCAAGGTACTAAGTTCCATCCTCAGTACCAAATAAATAATAAATAAATAACAAATGGGTCACTGGTAACCTGACGGACTCAAGGATCCACAAAAAGAAAAGTTCACTTCATTTTGAAAGCCATCAAATTAATTACAACCAAGGCAGTTTATAACATCTGACCTTTTTATATTCATTGTTTATTTTGCACATTGATTTCCAAATAACTCAAATCACATATCATGAAAATTATACAAATTTACTTAAAGTTATATTAGTCATTTAATACATTAATCACTATTTTGGGGTGAATTCAGTTCATGCAACTTCTGGTCAAAGGAATTAACCCCCACTCAATTGTTTGCCTGTTTTTCAGCCAAAGGCGGCAAACAAACAAGAGAAAAAAACTGCTTCATCCCCCAAAATGAGTTTGATCCCAAATGTAACTTCATAAAAACCAAAAGATTTACAGTTACGCTTAACAATCATAATTCTCTGCAGCAGGCATACTGCCCTTTCAGTTCTTATCTTAGCCACCCAAGTGTGCCAAGCAAAGGTCACGTGCAATCTGGCCTCAGCAAATCTACCACAAAGAAATCAGCACAGCCAGCTCCGCTCCCTGCTTCTTGCCTCTCACTAAATTAGCTTGGAAGCAATCTAATTAAAACTGTTATTCTGCCACAGCACCTCTCACAATGCAATACACATATGCATGTCAGGTCCTCCCTTCAAGCTCCTCTCTCAAATCTATGGGATACCATCATTGCCATCTTGCATTTTAGGAAACTAAGTATCAAAAAAAAAAAAAAAAAAAAGCCTTGCCCACCACTGCTGAGCTCCTTACAGGTAAACCCTCAGGGCTAAGGGCATCTCCCCACCACCTCTCTACCTCCACAAATCTCCCCAGCCTCCAGCCACACTCACTCACAAGACTAATCATAATTGAATCAAGGTTTCTTACACTTTTTGTAAAGAGCATTTACAAATTCTAAGTGAAACCACATCTTTTTTGAGACTCTGAATTAGTATTAAAAGAATCATAAAAACTGATTATTTCTGTAATTCCTCTGCCCATGTCCATTCTCCTTACCCCCCCCCCCCCCCCACGTTCTCCGGGGACCTGCAGCATGTGCTTATCTCTCTCCTCAGGAGTTTTGCTGACTTCAGAGCTGCACCCCACCCCACAGCTGGGTCTCCAGTGGCAAGGCCTGCATCACAACAGCACTTTCTACCTCACTATCTGTGTTCATCTGTGTTTTATATGATATAGCTGACTTCTGTATCTTTTCTACAGATGCTCTAAAGTGCTTCCAGACTATGATCCAAAGCAAATCTAGAAAACATTTTATAGAACACGTGGAGTCAGATGCTGTTTTCTAGTGGCCATGTATTAGTATTCTAGCAATTCTCAAGTTTAATTTTTCAACCCTAATCATCTATATCTGTGTTATTTAAACCAGTTAAACATTTATGATTTCACTTTATATTTTCACTATTATTAGTTGGAAAACTTTAGAACCTGTTACAGTCAAGTTCTGGATGCAAAATAAAATGTTACAGTGCCTTCCAGTATTTAAAAATTGAAATTGAATTCCATAATCATTTCAAGGAGTTCACTTTGAAGCCATCCACTCTCACAGTATAAACAATGTTTAAGTTTCAACATAATACTGTATGTCACTTTTGAAAGTCTGAGAAGAAATACTACCCATAATCAATAGCAATTACAAACTAACATAGCGATTTTAAACAGTTAAAATGCTACTTTAGTCTTAACACAGAAGGCCTAGCCTTGTGGTGTATAAAATATTTGCATCCAGTTACTTTCTGTATTTTCAAGTGATTGTTAGAGAAAAACTCATTTCATACGGTGGGAAATACAACTCTCCAACCTATACAATGGCAACACTGTTGCCTCAACCTCGATTAAAGCTTTGCTTTGCAGAATGTGGAAGAAATAAGCCCTGAGAGTGAATGTATGACTTTTCTGTGTCGAATTCTCCAGGAATGGGCAGAAAACTACTACACTTTTAAGATTAAAGCACCTCACATTTTTTACTGCTGTGGTTCGCACTGCTCTCATTCTTCATTTTAAAAAAATGAGTAAAAGCCAGGCGTGATGGCGCACACCTGTAAACCTAGCACTTGGGGAGGCTGGGGCAGCAGGACTGATGCAAGTTCGAGATCAGCCTGGGCTACAAAGTGAGCTCAAGCCCTGCCTGAACTGCACAGTAAGACCCTGTGTCAAATAAATAAATAAATAAATAAAAATAATAAATAAAATCCCTGAGCAAAAAGTCTTAACGTGTTGAAAACCTAGCATGTTCTGGAAACACAGCAAAACCCAATATACTCTGCAGCGCTCCGTTGTTTATCTCCTAGCCTGTCTAAATCTCAGCTGCCCTTCTTCACCTCCCTTTCTGAAAAGTGACTCATAGCCATGGGAAATCCACAAACACTGACTTTTTCCCCCAAGCAAGCGTAATAAATGGGAGTGGACCACGGCCAGAGGGAGGATAGAGAAGAGCTTTCGGTCTGGGCCCATGTCCAAAGCTTCCCAGAACCAACTGTTGAAGCCACAGTTTCTGGACCGATCGTCCCGAAAGCTGAGCGGAGCTTTCAGACCGCGCGCCGAGAGCGGCTCCGCGCGAAGCAAGGACTCCGCACCCCAACTCTCCCCGCCCCGCCTGCCCGCCTCCCCGGACCCTGTCCCTCGTGCAGGAGGTCCACCTCCCGCTTCCCGCACTCCGCCTTTCCTCCGCTCCGTCCTTTCTCTGTACTTCGGGGTTTTCCCAAGAGGAGAAGCCCAGCTAGGCTGGCTTGGCATGCACAAGAGCAACCAGCGCGGTCTTCGCGTGCAGCAGACGTGTGCTGGGAAGCACGAAAGCCCCTTTTCGACAAATGATCAACGAGCCCGCGCTGCAAGCTGGCAGCGTTCGCTTCTGGCACGGAAACTCTAACGACCGAGAGTAGAGCCCGCGTACGGGAGGTCGCAGTGCTGCCCCCGGCAGGAGAGGACACGGGGCGGCGGAGGGTCGGGGGCGCACCGCCCGGGCCCGGGCCCCGACCCCGACTGAAGCCCGACCCGGCCCCGGCCCCGGCACCGGCCCGCTCACCGCGTGCCCCCCACGTTCAGCTGCACGATCTCGCCGCTGCCGGCCGCCGCCGCGGGCCCGAAGCCGCCGCCGCAGTGCCCGCCCGCCATCTCGGCGGCTCCGGCCGCGGCCGCCGGGCCCGGAGCGCGAGGCCGAGGCGGGGGCTGCAGGGCCGGCGGCGGCGGCGGCGGCGGCCGGGCGAGTTGCCCGCGTCCGCCTCGTCCCCAGCTCCTCCGCCGCGCCGCGCCCAGGAGGCCCGGCCTCCTCACTCGCGGCCTCTGGGGCGCCGGGCTGCGCGCGCGTCTCTTCACGCTGCGCCGCTGGCGCCGTCCTTCCCCGCAGGACGGGTCCCCGCGCGGGACAAAACACCGCAGTGCTTACCCTCCGCCGGCTGCGGAGGCGCTCGGAGGAGACCGAGTGGGAGGAGCTTCCTGGGCGCGGGGCGGGCGAAGGGGCGAGAGGCGGGGAGATGGGCGGAGCTTACGGGGGCGGCGCGGGGCGAGTGAAGGAGGGGCGTGCACCCCCTAGCCCTCTTCCCTGTACCCTGAAGACGGGCTAGTCCTGGGAAGCAGATTTCCACAAAGAGGCCTAATCAGTGCAAACTCTCCTAATCATCACAGGGGCCACCTTCTCCTTGCAAATTGGAAAAATGCTTTGATATCTACATGCATACATGTAAATGCAGTGAAAATCTGAGAAGTTAACAACTTACTGAGGGTGCTTTACCTAAAATAAATGTTACCTCTTCACTGTCACCCCTACTCTCCCAAACTGTCTTATTTTGTTAAGCAAAATTCGACAATGCAAAATCAAAAAACCTCCTAGGTTGTCCAGCAACACACTTCTGGAGCATAAAGCAAAAGCACAGCTAATGTAAGAGACACACCATAAACGCAATTTTGTTTCTTAATATATTTTTGCTTTCAACAGTACAAGTCACAACCTGAGACCTGGAGTGCCTACCAGATAACCAGCGGCCTGATCCCTGGCCACTGGTTAATGCCTACGAAGGGGGGCCATGATGTTTCAATGGTCATTAGATGTGGCACTATTAAACCCTTAGTAAGGATTGTCTTTTGTGGTTTCACCATAATTCAAACTGATGACCCATGAGATGGTAAATGTTTATTCTCAATGTCATGGTAAGTTTTTAAAAATTCTGCTGGCAAACATACCAGAGATTGGATGCACTCTCCCCAGATTTGAATTAAAAGCAGATGGCAGTGCTTACAGATGTAAGGTCAATGTTATTCTCCCCAGCTCACTGGAAGATTAGTGACAAAATCTGCATTCAGTGAAAGCTTGGTACATGCCAGTGCTTTTGACTCTGTCCACCATTTTTGCCTTCACATTTGTTCTGTTGCCGATCACTTGAACTCAAATGCTCAGGTTTCTTTCCTTGCTGCTGATCAGATGGAAGGAGGTCATTTATTCTGGTGAAAAGGGAAAAGGATTTAATCACAGCCGGCTCTGAGATGATGGACATTGGCCTCTCTATCACCGTGTACAAGTGTGTTAGGGTCCTTCGCAGCCAGAATGTAGGGATGGGGGATGCAGTGAGATCATAGTCTTACCCAGGGGTGTGCACCCCTTCCTGGACCCTGCCCTCTGCCTCCCTGGCATCAGGAAATGAAATTGGCCCCTGCACACTCTACCGTTCCGTGGCTGAGGACAGCTGCGGCTGGCTCTTCAAGCCCTGGGCCTGAGAACATCTGGAGAAGCCATCTGTTCCTACAGGAACAAAATCCAACTTATAAGCCCCATTTTGAGGTGCCAGCTGCATGATGGCTGGCTTTAAAAAGGACACTGGCTTAAAATGATCAGAAAACTTGCTTAAGATTGCACGGCTGACAGGTGGCAGACAAGAGTCTGAAAGCAAGCAGTTAGGACTCGAGGATGCTGTTACCGTGTTACTGTACGCTCACTTTATGCAAAGTTCAGGCAAAGGTGGGGTGGACTGTGACACCTTGGAAACAGTAACTGGTGCCACCCCCGTATCAGCCTGTAACACCTGGTTTTATCAGACTCAGAAACTTCAAGTTTAAATCAATCCTCAGGATAGAATTAGGAGGCTCAGGTGCTACTTGATTTGCCATAGGCCCGTGTCTCAAAAGAATGTCAAAAAGTCCTTGCTAGCAGCTTTTTACTTTTAATGAATTCACAAGGCAACTTGGAGGCAGCACAATGCCTTATAAATAAAAATTTTATCTTCCTTGAAGTAAATCAGTGCAATCATATTCCTCTCAAGAATACGAGCAGTATCAGGGCCTAGCAAGGAAAAAAGAGCTCCCACTATTTTACAACCTGAGTCTTGATGTGTGCAAAGCAATTTAGGAGTCCAAAGGAATTCCTTACTCATGGACTTTAAAACTTAGTGGCTTCAATGGCTTCATTTTAAAGACTAAATTGAGACTATTAACAAAGTAAAAGACAAATAACTGAGAACACAAATGCAATCTTTATCAGGTATATATGATTAAAAATGTCTGTGTTTAGGTTGTTCTACAAATTAGCTAGAAAGCTGGAAACATATGGAAAGAATATTAACAAACAAGAAATGGAATAGTAGCTAATAAGGACATCAAAATAACAAAGACACCCCACAGATACATTGCAGAAGTGGATACGGTGTGTGCCATGTGCATACCCATCAAAGCACTTTAATTACAGCAAAACCTTAGAATTCCACATTACAAAAGTGAGCTTCCAGATCATGTCATACAGGACGGTGCTTTCAGGGTCAAATTTATGATTTGACCAGAAAAGCTCCCCAAATATATAATTTAGTGGGTTTGTTGGGTGGAGGGGGTCCTATTCATCAAATAGAAAAGGCAAAAGGAAGATCATGTGTTTATGTCCATTAAGATTTCTGCATGAAAAGTACACATGCTAAATGATGAAGCATTAGAGACATCTTTGGAGCCAGTGGAACCAGTGAGGGGAAAGGCACCATGATGCACAGAGAAAACTTTCTAACTCCACGGGCTTTCAAATTGCTTCACAATGAGTTTTCACTCACAGAGAATTTATACACACACATAGGCGTAAGCAGTGTGGATGCAAGGGTGACCCCACCCCAGCTATTTAAAACTTATTTATGCAGTCTAAATTTTATGTCTATAAAATAAATTAAATGTTATTTAGTTTAGTGAATATATTGGATTTGAGGTGTCTATTTCTCTTACCTGGTTTTCCACTGCTAAAACAAACTCCAAAAGTCGAATACTTTATGGAGAAAGAAGGTGTGGTTGGCTCAGAGTTCTGGGGGCTAAAGGTCAAAGAGCAGGTGGTCTAAGACTAGGTGGCCCCATGTGTCCAGACTCTGCTGAGCACCACTGCAGCTGCATCACAACATGGCAGAGACAGAGGCAGAAACAGATGCATATAGAAAAGGAAACAGCTGGGTGCAGAGAGAATGGGAGAGGGGTCTTGTGTTATAACAACTTTCCCTACAGAGGTCTAGCTTATCCTGCAAAAGCAGCATCAGTGGGTCCCTCCCCGAGGTGGGACCCCTGATCCTGCAACTTCCCCATCTCTAGAAGGGTCTTTCACCTCAACATCGCCTCACGAGAGCTCATTTGCTGGGGGAAGCTCTCATCCTTCTCCAAACCCCAACACTGCTAGGCTGGTCCTCAAACTTCCCTGTGCAAGGGACCAAGGTTTTCAATTTCAATTTCTACACTTGGTCCGACAGCACGGATTAGAACTCAGCTCATGTTCTAATGAACAGTTTATCATGCAACAATTTATCAGCTGTTGTCTTAGTTACTTTATGCTCATCGCTGAGACAAAATACCTGATGCCCAAGTTGGGAAAGGAAAGGTTTATTTCTTACAGTTTTTGGAGGTTTCAGTACACACTGAGTTGGCTCCAAGGCAGGCGGGCATGGCTGGACCGCAGTTCATGGCAGCCGTGGACAGCAAGCTCAGACCAGCAAAGAGAAAAACACACCTTCTTCCTGCCATTACATCACATCCTGGCTCCACCCCTATGTGGGTGGAGCACTGACACCATCAATCCAAGCACTATACAATGAACCATCACAAATGAGCAATGCAAACTCATGAGGCCTGGGGGACACAAACATAAACCATGACAGCTGTGTTCTATCAGGTTCCCTGGTCCAGGAGACAAAGTCCCCAGGAGGTACCAGGATGAGGCACATCAAATTGCTTCAAAGGCTTCGAATCTCTTTCATTTTTTATTTGCTCCATGGCACGCTGATAACAAGTGACCGGTGAGTGGGTACAAGTCCAACGACCACAGCAAAAGCAGCCCCGAATTAGATGTTCCAGAGATACACTGAGTAGGAATTGTATAAAGGAGCCTGAGGTCGGGAAGGGAAATCTGACCTGAAAATACTCTTATCTTTACTAAAATAAAACGTTAGGAATTAGCGCATATAAAAGGCTGGTAGCATTACAAGCCTGCCTGAGATTCCATCAAGATGGGTGCAGAACAACCCAAAAATAGGAATCAGAATGAAGTTCTTGAGTCTTGAGTCTTGGACTGAGGAGAGGGAAGTCGTGAAGTACCAGTCGGATGGAGAAAAACCAAGGGAATGTGGGGCACATCCACATGGCAGGCCAAGAAAGATCAGGCCTGGAAACTGACCCTGCACTTAGCATCGTGAGGGAACCCGGTGAGCAGAGAAGCCAAGGCACCTCTCTCACACTAGCGGAAGAACCAAGATGCTGAGCAAAGGACAGAAATATATGGCAGCAGGGGAGGGAAGTGAGGTCAAAAGAAGGTTTTATAAAGATGGTAAAAAAAATATTGCATGCTGATGAAAAGCATTTAGTAGAGAGCAAAATATCCTGTTATTCAAGAGAAGCGGCAGATCATCACTGGACATGTATAGGCCTTTGGAGAAATGAAAGAAAACAATATGTAGATATCAAGTGAAGGTGAAGGGGAGAAGCCAGAGGGAGAGAAGGATGTGCCCAGGGTCTGCAGCTGCTGCTCTTAGAATCTCCGGACTTACTCGAAGTGTAAGCGCACCTCACATTCTGAGTGTGAGCCTGATGGGGTTCTCCAATTCGTAAAAACTTGATATTCCGAAGAATAATAGGGGAAATGTCTCTCCATGGAATTGTCGCTCTCCAAAGACAGACTTTAAAGAGCGGGGAAAGGACTTGAAGGCTCACTGAGTCTCCTTCATGGAACTCAAAGGAACACAGTGAGTTTTTACTCATCTAAGGAGCGGTGAGTTAAGAGAAGCCAAAGAGTATGGCAGGGGAAGGGCAGGATGATGTCTGCCCTCCAGGCTGCTGCTAGAAGCCTAAGAAGGAAG